CATTAATTCCACCATAATTGGTGGATAACACATAGCGGCCAAAAGCCCTTTGAGCCAAATAAAAAGGGATCATGTAATTATTTCAAAATTAATACTGTGAGAAGCTTTGATAAAAAACAATGCATTTAAAGAGGCCATATAATTATTTTTGGTTTTGGCCTCGTTCAGCATTTTCCTTCCTGGACTTTGCTGCATCACTGTGAATGATTACATCACCTTAAGCTGATACAAAGTCATGCAAATTTTGGACATGATGAAGGCCAATAAGCCTGGTTTTTACTGTTCTGATGGATGATTGGCCAGCAGGGACTTTAGTGCCTCAGATTTAGCAATAATTTACACCTAAAATAAGGCTATAACATTTGCCGAAGATAAAAAAAGATACACTTCATACACTCCATCTAGGAAGAGAGACACAACTATGTGTTTTGTTTTGTTGTCTGTCTTCACTTTGCCTCATTCTGTCTTTTTCTTTATTAATGAAGTGGATTCAGTAGGAAGCTGTTCTTACGTTACAGTCAAATTTTCAAATGAATTCCTTCAACTTGCAACTTACCAGCACTTATGACAAGATATCACCTAATACTTCTCCTCTCCATGGCCATGGTCATCATATAATGTTTTTGGCAAAGCAATGGCAAAATGTTTAAGATTTACTCTGTTTCTGGTTCCATCTGGTTCAACAGCATGCATGCTCACTTTAAAGAAAATACTCTCTGGAAATTCTCCCTTACGAAATTAAGACAGACGTATGTAACCATCATTCCTCTGGTGATTAACATTTACTGTAGTGTTTCCCAGGAATGGATTCATCCCTACCCGCTTCTTCTAGGCTCCGTTCCTGTGCTGCGCGCTGTGGGTTCCCCCTCCGCTGTAAAAGCAGAGCTGTCCACACAGTACACCGCGTCATATGGAGGAAGGGCTGCGTGAGCGCCGCTCACAGCGCTGCGGGGCTGGAACTCATTTTCATGGTGTAAGTCACGAGTAATATAGTTATAAGCGGGTGGAAGGCAGAGCATTGTTGTGGCGCCTTGTAACATGACTGTCTGATTTATGCCTCGAACAAAAGGATGCCCCACTGAGGTCTGTTGCCTCACGGGGATTACGAATACCTCCTCCTCCCGCTGCTCTCTGTGGGACCCACAGGAGATGATCCTAAGCTTGCAGACGCTGGTTAGCATGAAGGAACCTCCGACCGAGATCAGGATGGGGCCTAGCAGTTGGGTCCACTGAAAGTGGAGGCTGGCCCGATAGTGCTGCCAGCCCATGGCCGTGAAGGTGACGCCGACCAGGCCGAGGAAGACCCCGGACAGAAACAGCGCCGTTCCGGTCTTCTCGCCGTCCAGAAGGGTGTCGGACTCACGCGGGCGAAAAGCGGCATTGTTGGTCTCCACTGCGGGCCTCGGTCCCATCATGTCAGTCCAGGAACTTTGGCTTCCTGGTTCACGCACAAGTCGAATGGGCGCACAAACTGGGCCACTCTCCTTCCCACAGTCAGGAGAAATTGGAACTAGATAAACACTGAGTTACTCTGAAAACCGGCAAGCTGCGAGGACAAGTTATAAGTTAACCTGTGCTTGAATATTGTTTGTCATAAGGACACACTGTGATCCAGTCTCTCGGAAAAAAGCTTTTCCTTAGACATCATTATACACAGCGCTATGTATAAAACAGTTATGTGGTCAGGAGCTATGTTACATACAATTTTTTTTGTTGTTTTTCTTATGTAATCTGTGCAACCAAAATAACGGTCAGTAGAGATCCAAAGCTCTCGATTTCTCCTATTGTTCCTGTGAGTTGCATTTTAACGGGCTTTGCCCATCAAAAATAGATAAATGCAGTATTTCACACATAATGCACAAGGTATGTAGGCAAGAAGAATCCAAGCAAATGGAAAGTGCATGACTTGAGACGCTGAAGTCCAAGATGGACACGCTGTCCACCGGTGGCCTACAGCCACAATGCACGTTAGCACCAGGTATAAACAGCCTCTTGTTGTTTAGTAAGTATCTGCATGAGAAGCTCTAGAAATGGGATTTCTGGATGCATGATGTGTAATCCAACTTGTCAAATATGATTTCACATGAACAAGTCTCTGTTCTGCATAACTTATCAGCAACAACTCACACGGCTGAGGTTGAACAACTAACCGAGCATGTTAAATGAAGGGGTTTAAAAACACATCACGCTATATGTGTGTCCATTGGAGGATAAATGAGACTCACAACAAGAAAAAAACGCATGTGACACAGATGCATCCCCGTGTGAGAGCTTCTTTCTGTGTTTTCTCAGTGGAATATTTGGAGAGAGCTTTAAAACAGCTGTAAAGCCGAGAAACGTCATACTGATCAGGTACTATGACTGCTGTAACTCCTGTAGCTCTAACTCTAGTTGCATTAACCAGCACTTTACTCACAATTCTGAGACTGAGACACTAAACTATTTGAAGAAAATATTCATTTAATCTTGAATGGATCTTGCAGGAACACGTCTCAGTTGTGCATACATTTAAAAAAAAAGGCTGGAAATGTATGTGGAAGAACATGAAGCCACTTTTTGTGTTTATGTTTATGCATTTGGAAGACGCTTTTATCTAAAGCGACTCACTAAGTAAAATAGCAGCTTTATTGGGAATGAAAAGAGCACCATAGAGAGGCTGAGTCTTTCAGAAATTTGGCAGAAGTGCAACAATCCATAGAAAACTATCTAAAATTCTGGAGAGAGTTATTCAGAAACATTCGGTTTAAAGCACTTCAGGGACCTCTGTAGGCAGCAGAAGAATGGCCTGTATGGAGTTTGACATGTATTTGCACACCACAGAGAAAAAAACCCAACATGCACCTTCATTAAATTGAGAATTGAGAATACAAACAGAGCAAAAATGTGATCTAAACGCCTACATAAAAGCACGTCCTTATTATGTATTATGTTGCATGTCACAAATCTGCCAATCAGAGTGCGGGATAATGCACTACTGATGGCAAAGCACAAAGAACATACGGTTCTTCTTTTGGGGGGGGTGAATAAATTACCCTCAAGCAGACAATACCAGCGACTGATCAAATCCAACCTGTGCATGTGTCTGCTCACCATGTCCTCAGCTCATTTCACTTGCCACTAATAAACAAGGGGGATAGATACAAAGAATTCATATGAGGGCAGTGTTTAAAGAACCCCCCCCCCCCTCCCCAGAATTGAAGCTGTACAGATTCTTTCAATTAGCAATTTCCAAATATTTATGGAGAGACATTTCCTCCCTGGAAGAAAGGAAATTTGTGTGTGTGTGTGTGTGTCTTTGCTTGTCTCCTCCTGACTCACTCGGGCGTGTATTGATCCCGTGAGCTGATGCTTTATTTTACTTCAGCCATGCAATCCTTATTAAAAGTAAACCCGTTCAGCATCTTTACAATGCTGTCATGATGATAAAAAGGATTCATTTGGAGGTTTTTCCTCAGCTAAATGACGGGCCGTGACATATTGAAATTAATCTTAATAATGTACATTGAAATATAATATTCTATTTCATATTTTGCATGTGGCCCTTTGTCCTTATTTAAAAATAGTCTTTTCCAGTGCAATCAGCTCAGTCTGAAGTACCTGTAACAGCAGAGTCCTCTGGCCTGCTAAAGATGCCGCAAAGGTCCACCGCAGGAATTAGGATGTGATCATTTCTCAGTCACCCCCCTCCCCTAAACACAGTCACATACACACACATGCTCACCATGACAAATAGTGTGTGACGTGCCTCCCTGAGCATGGCACGAAAGGGTCCACCCCCTTCTCGCCAGGGCTGATACTGCAGAGGAGGACGCAAGGGGTCTGAAATCTGAATTCTTCCTCTAGTAAATCACCTTTTCAGCAGCAACGGAGCAAAAAATATTTCCCAGCCCCACGTATAAGGTTTCATATGACTCAGCATCTCACTGTTCAGAAGAGACATATGGATTAAGGAAAGCTCAATGAGTAACTCTGAAACAAAGCTGTAAATTCAGAATGAGTTACCTTTACCTACTAACCACAAAGAGTGTGTTTGTGCCCCTTCAAAAGGCATCTTATTGAGGCGACACCAGAAAACAAAGTGCAATGGTCATTGACTTTACAACAAGTGAGAGAGGATGATTACTGTAAAATTCTGCCTTCAATCCAGATTTATATCAATTTAAGAAAAGCATACCTCAGTTATTGGTGATACACACACTGCCTTATTGCCTCCAGCATGCAGACAGCCTATCTATCCAACAATCGAACGAAAATCAAAGCCTGTGATCACTTAATTACCCCAAAAAGCCAAAAACGAATTCAGTTAGTGAGAAAAGATATTAACTTTGTTTATTTTCTGACCTCTTAATCAGATTCTGATTTTAAAAAATCAAGTCTCCAAATTGAATCTCTTTTTTTGTTGTTTTATGAAGATCAGAGACTGAGAAGGCAAGACTGATTAACGAAAAGCAGATGATCTGCAATTGTCAACCAGACAAAGGGATTATTTTCTAAGTCATAACAATTAACTCTGACTTGTGTTTTTCTTAGTTTTTTATTTTTAAGGGTCGGGATAGCTGACAGAGTTCTATTTTCCTTGTGGAAAATATGAAGGATTCCCTGGGATAAGAGGCTGACATGTTCTGGATTTGAATTATTCTAAAAAGGTCTTCTGGGCTTTGGAGTGAGCAGGGGAAGCAGAGGAGAGGAACCCGATTAATGCAATAAACTTACACTATTTCTTGTTTGTTCAGATGGTTTTCCTCATGGTGAGGATGGAGATCAAATGAGCACATCAATTATAAATCGTCCATAAATGTTACTGATGTTGGTCTTGCTCTCTGGTTTGTAGAATAACTCAACTCTATGGTTCCAGTGGGCCTTTGAACAAACACAACTGCGATGGCGGACAACAGACACTAAATGCTCCCTCTGCTCCGACTGTTTCACGGCCCTGGTTGTGACGTTAAGGCCCTCTCAATGGAAACCAGACACACACACGGCTTGAAGAGACCTACAACCTGTAATTTTATCTTTAAATAGGAAATGTAAAGCACGGCATTTGGAGACACACCTTTGCAGCTTTGTAATTAATCCGTGAATCTCCACAGGCTCCTTTTCAGCCCTCACAATGACGCCCAGCAGTCGGATAAAGGCCAGGAACGATGTGGCCCGCCGGGAATACTGGGAAGTCCTCACTAGATTAAACATCTTTGTGGACAAGCAAACATAAATAAATCAGGGTTAGAAGAGATTAATGTACTGGTGGAGATCAAGTCCACAACTCTTTTATGAGGGAAGCTAAACAAACAGTCAAACGCGCAAATCTGGAAAAATAGAGAAGACAGCTGTCTATGGTCCAGACAAACAAAACCAACCCAAAATGCCCTCCCATGGTGATGCGCTAAATTTAGCAAATCTTACCATCATTTTGGCAGTAACGATTTTAAAGAAAGCCCTTTGGTTTATTCAGTGTGGTCAGACATATATCAGGATGATCAGGCCGGATAGCTCCCTATCCAGTAGTTAACTCTGTGCTGACCTGAACTGTAGCGAGACAATGATTTTATTTGATTTATTTTTTTTCTAGTGCACAAATGGTCGTCTCATTTGGTTTTGGGTGTTTTGATTGAGAATGGGAAAATGTGGCTGGCTTTGGATCCAACGTGCCTGGTATTGTTTTAACACCCACACGGGCCGGTTTACCTCTGGAGTAACACAACATAGGCCCCAGCTCATGCCACCAAATTCATTTTAAGGTCACATATTAACATATCCATCCTGTTTCTATTTGGAAATGCATGGCTGAACTTTCCACAACCTACAAGCCACCAGTCATAGTGGGAGAGGGAGCGTCCAGGACGAGCTGGCAAGGTATTTGGATTTTTAACTCAAATCAGAAGTATTTGTGTTAAATAATGATCCTCAGCACTGCTAACAAATAAACTGTGTTATGATGCATGTTTCGTTTAAGTTTTGGAGCTTACAGTTGTATCTACTAAAACAGTTTTTATGAGTTGATGGACAGCTATGCTGGAATAATGTTATCAGTTTCTCACACTTTGGACTCTTGTGTTAACTAAAGCCAACTGCCGAAAAAACCTGAGGTTCATTTACTGCGACAAACGCCAAGACTTTTCTTTCTGCTCTTCCACCCAGAGCATTTTCTACCTTTAAAGACCACACAGATTCATTGATCCTCTCAAGTTGTTCTATAAAATCTGTGGAAAAACAAGTCTACAAACGGACCAACGCTCTTTCTGGGCGAGAATTCAACTTACACGTCTCACTTTGGCCTTTTGGATAATAGCATCATACACAAGGGACCCAGAGATCTTTTCTTCTCTGTCTGAGTGAGTAACACTGATGGCTCGCACATGTGGCTGTGAAAATGGAGCTCTGAGGCTATATTTTAAACAGCAGAGAGGAGGTCTTCAGTCAGAATGACACAAGGGGATGACTGAGTGTGTAAATTTGTACAATGTGTTGATGTAGTGCCCAGCATGCTTGCACATTCATGCATACATCCTCTTGTAAGCAAAGCACTGCATGAGGCTGTGGAGTGCAAAGTGTGCATTATTGCATGTTCTGTTGTGTTTTCAAGCTTTCTTTTCCTGCACTGTCTTTCTGCACAAATAGACCTAATAATCATTTGACATTCATTATGACCAGGAAACAAAGACATATTTTTTATTCTTAGTGTTGGATTCTTTGTGGTAAACTTAAACGGCAAAAACTAATTCATTCAAATCAGATTGTTGGAGATGTTTTTATTTACTTTTTCGGTGCTAAATCAATTCAGGTCAATGGTGTGCTTATATGTGATTTTTATATACTTTAAGCTTATAAATGAGCCTACATTCCTACCAAAGAAAATCCACCCCAACTTCCAAAAGAAAAGATCAAGAGAAGTGCTCCAATGAGGCTCTTAATAATCATGAGGATATTATTTCCACTTCCCAGAAGGAAAAATGTATTTGTAATGTAAAACACAATTGTGGTTGATAAGGAATATGATTTCTACAGAATGCAAAATTACAAAAATCTGTGTGATTATAACAATGATATACTTCAAAGTTGAAGACGAACAACTGATGTGTCTTGAAAATAATATTTTAAAATTCCCTATGATGACTAATGTGCTGATCTAACACACAATGTCGCCCTGAAATGTTGAAATAGGATCCCAGCAAATATGCAAAACGGGTTTATATGATACCACATTTAACTGCTTTTATCCTATTTACAAGAGCTTTAAATAAAGATTACATAACTGAGAAAGATGAAGATAAATGTTTAAGTGACTTAAGCTAAAGATGCACCAGCTGAATGCTTCACTGGGTCTATATTTCCTCGGCTTGTTGCCAAGTTTGTGATAGTGTTATGCAGCTTTACTATGTTCCAAATGCTAACATTGCATGATGATATTGCCAGTTTGACATTTAAGTTCTTTCAACTTAGTTTGCTAACACAATGTTTTCGTAGAGACAAGAATCACACAGTTCATTGTTAAAGTTGTCATATTCATATATTTGTATATATTCATATATTACACATTTAATACAGGCTCAAAGAGAATCATAAAATAGACAAAGAGTAGCAGAAATATTGGTAAAAATGTGAGAATCAATTTACACAATGTTGCTCTTTTTAAACTCTGTTTAATACAACAAAGAAAGAAAAATAAAGAAGGGAAGGTGACAGCAAAAGCAGCCCTGTAAAATTATCTGGAGTTTTGTAGGGACAGCAAGAACCAGCTTGCTAATACTGAATACAATTAAAGAATTCATGCGCTCATTTTAAATGGCATTTGCTTTGTTTGAGAAAAATCATTCACAGAGACATATCTGCATCTTTTCTGTTTTTTTCCTTAACAGTACAAATATCTGGTTTACAATTTCTGGATTTTATGTACACTGATTTAAACTGTTTTAGAAACTTGAACTTCGGAGATTGGGACATGTTACTGTAATCCATGTAAAATTGGTGTCTGCAAAATGAATATGGAAGGCTTGATTCTTACACAAGGTATCAAAGGCATCATATAAAAACATTAAAAACTGTTCAGATACGTTGGCTGAAGATAAAGAAACCTTTTTTTTTTAAGTGAGAAACTTGGACATGATTCAACCACTTAATCAGTTAAAAACTAAGAGCTATGTTCCATAGCAGAAGGAGTACAAATAAAACTGAGGAGAAAAATCCTATCTGTGGTCAGTTGGCCAAATGATGCAGTGTGTGAAAAAGACTGCCTCAAAGACTTTGCTGTTATCAATCACATCATTTAGGCAACTTTTTTTCCATCTATCAAATTTCTGTACGGCTGGGGGGGGGGGGGGGGGGGGCTGGAGCATATCCCAACGGGCGAGAGGCGGGCTACACCCTGGACAGGTCGCCAGTCCATCGCAGGGCCACACAGAGACAAACAACCACACACACTCACATTCACTCCTAGGGACAATTTAGACACAGGGAGAACAAATTCCAGCACATCGACCAATTTCAAAAGCATTTGGATGATGATATTCAAAATGTTAATTAGGGAAAATTATGGGAAACTGCTAAAAAAAAAGGCAAACTGCTCCATAGAGAAGTGAAACAGCATTTAAAACACAGCCAACCTCCATTTAAAGAAGGCAAGAACGAAGCACCGAGAGTCAAACGTGGCAACTTTTCATTTTGCTAAACCTGCCTGTATTGCTCACAGTTGGAAATGGCTAAAGACTGTCCCAGCGTGTACTGGGAGAGAGGCAGGACACGTGAGCAATCTATCACAGGTTTAATGGCAGCTTTTCGTCACTGTATTTAACCAAAGTCAGCAACAGCGGATTACTCAGTGACAAGCAGTCGCAGTAAGGCATTTCAATGATTAATCCGGCCACATGGTGATTTGGTTAGTTAACGCAATCTGAACCGCGACAGGACGAAACTGATGTGTATCAGATACAAAACAGACTAAAAGAGTTCTGAAAAAGTTAATTGATTAAACTCAATTAAGAGGCTATTTCCGGAAGACAGTTTAGATTAAAAAGAGAAGTATTCCCTTCAATATCCGAATGAGGAGTAAAAAAAGACGACTGGCACATTGTTTGGTGCTATTCTCGTTAACTGTGCTGTAGTATACAAAAACGCTGTAGAAACACTGTGAGATTCAGGCACATTTCTCATTAACAGCACACAGAAGTACGATTAAAGGCTGCAAGGTAAATTTGGTGTAAAGTCCCTTGATTTTGTCAAAGTATCGCAGTCAAAGGTGCTGAGCGAGGATCGATAAAGACCAGCAGTGAGGAAGTTTGAAAGAGTACAAGCCACCCTTAAACAGAGAATTTACAAGGACATTTTGAGACTCCACAAGAGATGGTAGTTTAAAAAAGCTCCAGAGAATTATAATTTAAATAGGGAAACCCTCATTTGCGTTAACACACATTTTCTTCTTTACCTTTTGTTCCACAGTATAAGAAGAGGCACTGAGGTTCTATTTTTTTTTTTGAGAGCGCTTCAAAATTTTTTACAATGATCAAGATTGTGCCATAAGTGTGTGAGCTCTGTTAAAAACATATTTTACCTTCATTGCTTCATTGCACAAGATCACAAAAGACAAATGGTGAGACGGAAAAGACAAACATCAGCAAAGAAAGCCCGTCTGATACCCGAGTCAGAGCCGCTTGAGCAGAAAATTCTGTGCTGTTTACAGTTCAGAGAGAAAGTTTTTCTTCACACCCACACTGAGGTGGGTTTTCTATTTCTTATAAGCTCTGAGAAAGCAAATACAAGAGACAAAAGAGCACCTGAAAGACTGTTAGTGCACGTTTTCTTTCTTTCGTTTTTTTTTAGCATTTTACACCCCATATAGATTTCATAGATGTAGTGACGGACATGCAGAGGGTTGCTGTGACAGAGATAGAACAATGACCCGCTGCAGTGAACCTAAAAGGGAGCAGCCAGAGGAAGAAGAAGAAGAAGATTAAGAAGAAGAAAACTGAGTTGATCTGAAAGCATTATTAGACTTCATATCTACACATTTCCTGAAAGCTCATCTTATTTTTTTTTCTCTTTTAAACAGTGTTCAATACTCAGTGCTGTTTTATTGTAGTGAGATTCTCGCTTTCTTTGTGAAACCGTGGCCACCGTAAACAGAAGGATCTGGAAGTTCTGGAAGCCTTCTGAAGTTGCGTAGTTTTGCATCAAGCAAGACTTTCTTTTCTTGAGAACCACGGGGTGGGGGGGTGGGGGGAATCACCTCAGCAATCTGCCATGTAACGCCCTTAACACAAGAAGAACCCATTATGAGCTGCTGGTGCCTTAAACATACCAGCCCCAGAAGCACGCAATGATCAGGTGTTCTACAGACCTGTGGCAAATCTTTTCTTGGTGAGGGAAAGTCTGTAACCGGTCCCCTGCAGCTCCATGTCGACGCCTGACAGGGTGCTGCCCTCGCTCAGAAACTGCACTGCCAGAGTGGAGGGGTTCGAAGGGCCATTTGACAGCTCAAACTTTGCCCGCAGAGAACCAGCGCCTGGGTCAAACACAAAGTCACATTTGAGGAGGGCTCCGGCTTCACTTTGTTCTGCTGGAGAGAAAAAAAAAAACTAAATGTGGAATCCTTACCTTCATTTTCAGATTTTTCTGAGATTTCACCCAGCTTCCAAAGACTCTTATTCTGCTCTGAGTTCCTAAAACAGAATGACAGAAAGATGTGTGGTATTCAAATAAAAGGGAAATGGGGTTCGGTGGTCCATGCTGAGCTCCTGATGAGGGAGGTCACACTTCTCACCATATAGAGTTGGGGAGAGATTGCGTACTGGTGACCCCTCCATCAATAGGCACTAAGATCTGCACATTGGTGAGGGGGCCGGGGGACGCCATGGACTCCGGGTTGTAGCGGTAGTCGACCCGTAAATCCGTTGTGCTCGGTGTACATTTCCAGTACACAGCCAGATTAAGAGGAGTGGAATGGATCCCATCAGCCTGCACCTGAACACAGAAGCACAGTGTAATTGGGAAACCTGAAATTTTAACAAAGCGAGCTTGAGTTTGCGCAGTTGGGGTGATATTTCCGATACCCTTGTCCACAATGGGACCGTGCCTGTGCTATAAAGGTCTAAGCCCATCACATTTGGGGCCTGCAGGCGCAGAGGCAGAGAGAGCTGTCATAGCAGATCCACAGACATAAGAAAAAAATCAAATATGATATTAAATGTAGTTTCCAGAACTGTCTTTAGTGGTTTGTGAAATTGGGTGCCAACTAGAGGGTGAGCAAAACCAGCTGCAGAACCCCAAACCGATACATTAACCTCAACTCCAAGGGCTGCAGCATTTCCAGTTTGATGAGAGACTTTTTTCTTTGTTTTCTCTACCAATCAGTTTTTGTTCCAGGATAAAATTATTTGATTTTTTCATTTGTGTGTGGTACACAGCGTGGTGTTGATGGGAAGTGCTGTATTTTGAGAAATTAAAGCAGCATTTAACCCATCATATGCGTCATGGTTTGGAGCTGTTTAGCTGCTGTTTGTGTCTGTAAGATTTTCTGTTATTGACTGAACAATGGCTTCTAGATTAAAGCAATAAATCAGAGAGGAACACATCCAGGCATCTGTCTGTTTTCCTGAATCTCAGGGTCATTCGGCACATTAAGTAAGAACAGATACTGTTCTAGCAACGAGTGATTAATGAAGAGAAAACGTCTTGTTTTGGAATTGTCAAGTCTGAAAGTCCTAACTTTGATTCAATAGAAATGTTGCTGAGGAGAGCAGTTTATGTGAGAGTTGGATCTCTAATAATACGAATGAAAATGCTTACAGTCTTATAATCTAATGTAAAGAACTAATGAAAAGTTAATAGAAATGCTAGATCCACAGATACTTAACTCACACGTTTGCATAATTTTGGAACTAGGACATGTCCCACCATTATATCACTTTTCTCAATGAATAAACAAAGCACCACAAATTCATCTGTGTTGTTTGTTTGCTGTCTTAAGAATCTGTTTATGATTTTGTGTTGTTAAAATTCTTAATGGCACAGAGACTTTTAAGCATCACCGACTACAGTACCGAGCCTCCTTAGTCAATCAAGGACCCGCTGTCTAGGGAAAAGTTCTGACCACTCCCCTTCAGGCCTTGGTTTCTGTCTGCCCCAACGGTGGTCTTAACCAGGATCCATCAATTACGCAGAACAGTTGCATTTGCTTGTGCATGAAAAAGAGGGGAATACACTGAGAGGCAGCGAAGCGGCAGCCTTTGTGTACAGCCTTTCTCGTGTAAATACGTTATCGGGCAAAAACGTGCGTGCCTACCAAAGCAGTGGAATCGAGGAAAATGAATGCAAAAAGCAACGTTATGATACCACGACATGCGAATGAGTATCAAGTTCCCACTGAAATTGTTTAGCTTCTGTTCACTTTTTATTGTCCTTGCTGAGTCTTGATGCTCTTTTTTTTTTATTCCCTCAGCCTCACATGGTGGAGTGTCATGCAATTTAGAAAATATGCTTTTACAAAGCATTCTTTAAATGCAGCTGTTTTATCTGCAATAAGCTCTCAGCTCAGTGCTGGCTGACAGACCTGGTATTTCAGGATGTCCACGTTGTAGTAGGAAGCCGAAGGATTCTGATCTGAGGCTTTTCTGAGGTAGGACGTCAGCGCTTGCATGTTGAACCAGAAGTCCTTGGAATTTGAGTCGCTTTGGGAAGGATCACTACATAAAAGGCAAACAGTCAGAAAAACACAAACGTAAACACACATATGCATTACACAAAAGGAATAATCAAGAGGTCCATTATTCATGGCTCTGTTTGGCTTTGAGTGTAAAGCTCCAATAGCTTGGAAAAAATGACCCTGTTATATCCAACCAGCTACTAAATCATGAATTCCAGTTGATTCAATTAGCCCAGCCATGTGGTCTTGGGATGACTGAGAGCAAGCAGAGCGAGAAATGGATGCCATTCTTCATCGGTTTTCGGGGAAAAAAAGCTCTTTTAAAACAGAACCAACAAATTTAGCTCCTTACTGAAACGGTTCATGGTGCGTGAGGTAAAACACACATTAAATAACTCTGCCTACAACTAATGAGGTGAGAAATGAAAAAACAAAGGTACGTGAATAACGTGTTGAATGAAGGAACTGTTACGTGAAGGGTTTTACTCTCTTCAGGGCATCTTTCAGAAGAGACGTGGGCAGTTAAGGACCTGTGAGAGGCTGCTGGAAAATACTTCCCTGACAGCTTAATGATAGCTTTATGTGCGATTACTAATTGAATTTCCTCTCGCTGACGCAAACTACGTGTCCTTCGTCCTCACTTGTAGTGAGGCAAAAATCCCTCTTTCACTTAGCCACTCTGTGGTCGAGACATCAGCTCATCAGTTTGATGATATTCTGAGATGTTATTTCAAAACCTTCCCGTTTGCCTCACCTGTACAGGAGCTGCTGGTTTGGGAGGATCTGCTCCAGCCTGCTGATGTTCTTCAGTTTGAACGTGAGGACGGCTGGGGAGGGGTTGCTGGTGAACAGTTTGATGATGCCCATGGGGAATGATAGAGTCATGTCCCCTGTAATTTTCACAATGCATCTGTGGAGTACAAAATAACGTACTTTATTTATACAAATATATATTTTTTATATATATCATATATGTATTTTTTTCACCATTAAAATATATATTTTTGTAAAAATTTGGTTTTGCTTTTAGCTTGCGACTGTCCAAGAAATATATAGAAACCAAACATCTGAGAAGTTGGAGGAAAAGAATGTTGCTTAACTAAAAAAATAAATAAATAAATGCCATATCTTAAGTATTCAGACTTATTATCTAACTGATAATCCTGAAATAAATAGATTTTGTATAATTGCGCAGTTATTAATTTCTGAAGTGCTTGGTTTGTCCCAAAATCTAAAAGTATATAATATTCTGTACAACTATGTGCTTCAGTAGTGCAATGCAGCTCCGGGTTTTGTATGGAGGGAACCCGATCATCACTGCAGGGGCTGGTCTGAGTTGGTGGTAGTGGCCCACAGAGGGTTTTAACTTTGCACCATGTCTCTGTTGCATCGCTCATGAAATGTTCCATTTGCTAATCCCTGCAAAAATAAGCCTTTTGCACAGCAGCAATTTAACAGCAGTTAACCAATAAAAGACTGTATGTTTTCTCTGCTCCAGACTATAATCTGCCTCATGCAGGTTATCCATCCTGAAAGAATGGTGTCAGACTCACGCCAAACATTCCACACATGCAGAGTGAGCAGGAGATAAAACTCATAAAACCAAAAAAGTCCAGAGAGAAGCAAATGTGAAGTATAACGCAATCGGTACGTCTCACAACACCACATGTAAGGTAGTTACACTTTAAACACAGAAAAGAATTCGAATAGATGCGGCTTCGAGTTGTGGCGCTTGAGCAGAAGGTCATGTGAGACTCACTTGGTGGGATCAGCTCCTTTGAAGTAAGCATTAACCGATTCTGTGAAGGCTACGGCAATCGGCAGTGCATCTTGGGATCCTAGGGTCACAGGGCTGGGACCGCGAGATGTCCCTGAGGATAAGAAAGGCACAGAGTAAGAGGTCTGTTGACTCAGCTGCAGGTCAGACTTTCAAAACAGTCTAAACCAGTCAGAATTAAGAGGGTTTAATCATGCAAAGACACATTACATAACCACTGTTTCATCAGGTCAGCCACTCAAACACTGCAAATCAGAACTTTGTTATTTCTTACAGCAAACAGATTACTTTCTTGTTTGTTTGTGCAACGGCTGCGCTGGCGTCTCTACAGTATGATTAGATGGCATTTTTAACTTCAAAAAGTAGAAAGGAATTGATGTGTTATGGTTTTAAACAAATCCTTTTCTTGTTAGAAACTAAACAGGCTGAGAACACGATAATCAGAGCACTAAAGACTGAAAACTGCATCCACTGCAAAGCAACATATCAATTTTTCCATCCAAGTTCAGCATTCAACCAGCTGGTGTTAGTTATTTAGCCAGGTTTAGAGGAGAACCCTCCAATATAACTTCAACTATACCTGCTGGCGTTTCGCATCTCTTCTCAAAGGCAGGCAGCTTTGCTACAAACATATCATCCTCTTTATGCCACATTAAAAAGGCATAAAGAGAAAGCAGGACATACACAAACGCAAAGATGTGAGGAGAGATGATACAGAGCATGTTTGTAAGCCAGTTTCTAAATGTGGTATAAAGATGGAAGGTGTTCCCTAAGATCACACGACTGACATGACTGCTCAGAAGTGCAAAACATGGCCTTAAGATTACATTTATAGCTGTGACGCTATGGATACATGTTTGCAAATGCACACTCACTTTGGCTTAGAGAAAAAAGAGAAGACAGGGTGAGCAGCTCTGGTTCTAAGGAGGAGAGCGGGAAAACAAAGGAGTGCTCAGCCTCTGCAGGGAGAGGATTGAAAGAGGAAGGCGGAGGATGAACAGAACAAGGTGGTGCACAGAGGTAAGCGACAGAGTGCGGAGGGGCTGAGGAGGGAAAAGGAAAAGAACGGAAAAACAATCATTTAAGAAAAGAGAAGTTGTCCAGACAGTTGAGGTGTGCGTACCAACGGTGGGGGTGTTGCCAGCACTGAGTGAGGCGTTGGAGGACAGAGAGGAGGAACTCTCAGCCCGGGCAAGTGGTGCAGTCGGAGGAGGACTGGCATTAGATGCCTTGGGAGGGCTGAACGGTCGTACCTGGATTAAGAGATACGAGAGAGTGGTTTTAAAATGTGACATTTCAGTGTAGTTTCAGAACTAATCAGGCTGACGTGGTAGAGATGCCCTTCAAATAGCTAAAAGCTAAAAGAAAGAAATGTTTGATTGTTTTTTCACTTTTGTCATCTTACAAAACTATTCCATGAGAAATGTACGTAATATTATTAAGAAGCCAAATCAACTGCAAAAGATTCAGCACATTCAAGTTTAAATTCCCAATGTAACACTTAAAATATTGAAAATAATAATAATATTTGAATCACATACAATTTCATTGATTCCTGTGAGTTTTCCTGTGGAAATTTTGGGCCTGGAGGAGGGTCGTGGTGGGGGCACGAGGGCTCCTGCTGTCAGGGGGGTGGTGGGTCGGTTCGGTACTGGCACTACAGAGGAACACATGGAAGTCCTGCTGGTTAGAAACACTACATGCACAAACAAGCGTTTTATTGACCACTTGGATGCAGAGCTGTCATGCAACATGGAAGCAAAACATCAAACACTGAAAAACACAAAAAAGGCAAAGCACTACCACACAGTGCAAAATCAATTTCACAAAATAAACTTGAGACAAACATGTTTCGAATCAGGCATCGATAAAATAAAGAAAAGTAAAAACAACTCAAGAGAATTCACAGACAAACGCAAGTGTTGGTTTCCATTAGAAAATGAAAACACCTGCCATCAGATGTTAACAGAACTCAAAGGAAAGAAAATCCAAACCTCAGGCACACCACACGTCTTTAGCATCAGCAGTTATGTTACCATTGAATATTTTGCTTGCTGGGGCTGCGGCCATGGCCCTATCAGGGAATACATCAGTGAAACAGGGGTCCCCGTCCTCCCTGACACCTGCTGCTTTGCAGTAGGCGTCCGAAGAGTCATCAGACAGGAAGCGACTTGATCTGCTTGGGCCTGACTGCAGCCTCTGGAGCTCCTTTACGGATGATCCTGAGCCTTGACGGTAAGGTGGAGTAAAGTTATCACTGAAAGCAATCCATTGGCTCTGGGACCAGGGCACTGATGAGGTGTCATTGCTCTTTGGAGGGCTGCTGTTGGCTGGGCTTCTGATGGGGTCAATTGGCTCACTGGGCTGGGTGATGGGAGCACTCTGGGCTCTTGCTGGTGTGGGCTTAAGTACTTGGAAAGGGTTTTCGGGTGAATCCCAGGGAGAGGAGGAGGAGGATGAGAATGAGGAAACATCTTTGGATTGCTGGCACTCTGCCGAAGGAGGAGAGCGCTCCTGTTGTTGCACCGTGTCAGCTGAAAGAGGTAATGTGATTGACAGAGGCAGTAAACATCACACATTACAAAAGAAAAAAGTGGAGACGGACAGCTCGAAATCTGAAATCAATTCAATTGCAGAATCTAACGTCATTAACGTTAAATCAAACCATCTAAACTGTAAGACATTTTTATTATTTTCATAATTTAATGAATTCAAAGGATTGCAAAAATACACACACATCCAGCCAGTTAACCTAACAAAATTAAAGCATCTGGTATCAGTACGGATTAGTCTATACTTGGAAGTTCGTAAAAATAGGATGGTTGTTATGGTGTAAAGTACTGTTGTTTGTTTAGTTAAGTATTTCCAATGTTTATTTGTCTTTATCTGTTTTCTTCAGCATGATCATTTTAATGGCGTAAAAATGAAAAAAATCTAATTTAAATGTTGTACATGATGCATTAAAATATCAGCTATTAACTGTAAGTTTTTTATTGTTATCTGAAGACATATTTAGCAAATAATGAATGAATAAATGCAAATGAATTATATCCAAGTGATTCATGGAATCTGCCTGTCTGTAACAGCTCTTAAGAAACCTTGAAAATGATTTAAAAAAAAAAAGGTTTTGCATTCTAAAGAAAATATTAAAATCACCCAAAATTTAAAAAATAAAAACAGCAAGGTGCTGACTGTGACTTCATATGTGCATACAGATGCACAGGTGTAAGTCTAATTCCCATGCATTTGAAGCAGAGAGCACTTCAGTGTTAGCAGCAAGAGAAACAAATACAAAAAAAGTTCAAATCATGCTAAACCTTGGTTGATGAACGTCAACTTCTGACAGCCAATGTATCAAGTTTTACCTGATGCCTCTGGCAGAAAGACGTCACAGTCATTCATCAGAAAAGATGGAGATGGAGGGATTGGAAAAAGGATAGAAGCAAGGTCTGACAGGAACAGGTTGAAAAAAATCAAAAAAACAACACATAAAGTCATAAAGTGTAAAAAAAAAAAAAAAAAGAAAATATGAAAAAAAAAATTATAATAAAAAAAATGTACAATGAAGTTCAGGAAAACAGAAAAAATACAAATGTTTCATGTGACATTTATTGCATAAATACATGGTGTATACATTTTCAGATGGTTTTACACCCAAACATAGTTTATTGGGGAGGAAGCAGGTACCCAATTCTCATTGCCACATCGTAACCAGGGCACTTTTTGATGATCTCTTAACTCTTAAGCCGAGACCTTTGACAGCAGCGAGACACTGTTTGACAACATACGTGCCAGTGGGCTTTATAGGTGACCGTCTGACCTCTACTAGGTGCCAATTAACTGTGGATTATGCTTAACCTGGGGAATGGGTCAATGCTAATGTCACTCTGTTTAAATGCTGGTGTCATGCAAGTGAAGCACCAGAAACACATTCAGTGTTACATACCAGTGTTATACATACCAGGAGGAGTGTAACTGTCGTCTGACAAAGAAAGAGTTTTTCTAAAAAGTTACAGGCAGAATCTTTTGTTCATATGATCCTCAATCCAGGACTAAGTTTATGGTGACATTCAAAGTTTTCAGGTTTCTCAAAAGCAAACTTATTTTTCACTTGTACTAATTGCTCGTTTTTTGTAGCTGAACATCATTTTAAAAAGTTGTAGTTTGATTTGATATTTCACCTTTAAGTAACTGGACCACACCAACACAACTCAATTTAAAAACACAGGATCTTTATTTGAAACGAAACAGAGCTCTGTCTCTTTTCTGTACTGTGACTGAATCTAAGTGTAGCTTGTGTATACAAACCTCAGCTGATGGTCACCATATTAGAGATACACGCTTGATGACAGTTTGGCCTACGTAAGGCAAAGGTCCTTTTTGAGCGTGTGACAGATGACGCATCATTTAAAGCTTAAGAGGTTACCTGCTGATGATGACACTGTGGAGGAGGATCCAACAGGCAGAGCCGAGCTCAGTGGGTCCAGGGACAGAAGGTCATTGTTTGTCAGCCTGCCCCAGAGGGAAAAAAATCCAAACTTTATTAAATGTCCATATTTAAGTAATACTGACCAAATAAACAGAAATCAAACAATGGTACATAACAGCAGTAATATAACAGGCATTTGACAGACTCACTCATATGGTGTTGGTACCCTGGGTTTTGCCAGTTCATCACCTTTAGGGAGAGAAACAAAGAAAAAAAGAATGATTAAAGCAGATTCACATACATTCTCAATACACAAAAGTAACCACGAGTAAAATAAAAATAGAACAACCACCTCCCCAAAAAAGCTTTTTAAAAATCCAGTATCTGTAGGTGCCCATTAAGACTCATACTGTTGAAGAACATCACACCTTGAAACAGATATATCAAACACCGATCATTGGCAGCTCTAGAGGACAGTCAAATGTTTGGACAAGCCGTTTAGGTGTGTCCAAACATTTGACCGGTAACTTGTATTTACAGTGAGACACGGGTTAGAAAACAAGTTTTATCTCTGCCCCATGAAGTAAGTCTTTAAAAAAAAGAAGGAATACAGCAAAAGGTGTTAAGACAAAGACTTCTTCTGCGTTCAAAGTATAGTAGAAGCACTTTCAAACAGGGAATGGAGGACTTTTAAAGAAAAATTAAAATCATATTACACCCCTGTCTAAAAGTATTATTATGAAATTAAAGATACGTAACTTGAAGTAGCACCAAAGCATCAGAGGTAGGAAGTCTTTGAAGAACCAAAATTAAAGCAACACGTGTGTAAATTTGTCAAAAGAAGACTAAATTTGCTGAAGGACGACACACTGTCAGTGATGTTAGCTGGAGCTGGCTGGCTCCAGATGCGTGAAAGGGCAAAGAAATAAAGGCTGGAGGTGAAGGGGGAATGCAGCTGGTAGGCCAACTAGTGTAGTGAAAACATACTCACCTGCACCCTTAGCCTTAGAGCCTAAAGTAGGAACTCCTGTGATCCCTAAGCGCATGTAGAGTACACATCTATCAATGCCATTAGCTTGTGCAAACTGATCTCGATTTAAATTAGGCGTTCAGCTCCAGAAAGAGGATAAAAATTAACTGAACTAATTAACTGAACTCCTTAATGATTTTGAAAAGGGAGAGGATGGAAGATTTGCATTCCAAAAATGACAGAAAATGTAAATACTCTACAACAGACAGGTATTTAAAAAAAGATTTAAGGTAAAAAAGCACACAAATGGGATTTTGTTGGAGCTGTTAAAATCCAGGCTAAACTCGGCAAAGGCACATGCCGTGTTTGTATTTATCTTTTTTTTCTTTTCTTTTTTGCTTTGAGTGGCATTTTTATCATGTTTTTGTAAATGTCACTTAAGGACTTGTGGTGCTGATTTAAATGGTAAAACAAAATTATCATGTACAAGCAAAGCACCCGGCATTGGTTTATGTAATTCAGTTAAAATAATTTCTGTAGCCATAATATAGACTTGAAGTTGCATTTCTTTTAATTCATTTTATTTTGAAAAAGCCAGCATATCACTAACAACTGACTGAATCTTGCAAGTTACACAGTGGTCAAAAATCCCTACATTGGAGCAGATCTGTTTAGTCAGACTTATCTTAAATTAGTCACTGAAAACGAGAGCAGTTAAAATTTTCTTTCCAAAAAAGCAGGAAAAAAATGGGACAACTTGTTTGTGTTGAATCGCAATATTGATGCAGCATTGAGTTGCATTTTGTTTTAAACATGTCTGGCTTCAACAAGCAAATGTTGATCTCTGACATGTCAAAAAACAGTTGGCTAAATAAACTATTAGTTAGATGTCACTTAAGCATATTTATAGAATATTTATTTATTCTTCTTCTTCGAATATGTTGGTCTTGGTTTGGTTTTTGGATTTTTCTCCCTTAAGATAACCTCCTAAAGAACAACTGTGGCTGAGAGGTTTCACAGTGAAATTTCCCCCAACACTTCTATTGGAAAAAAAACACATAAACATAGAGACGTTTTAAAAAAAAAAAACTCACTGGACTGGTTCCTCCGCATCTGTCCCTGCAAACAAAACAAATACAGATGTTAAATTAATAGACGGGACCCAAGATTAATTTGATTCCTGTAGCTTGCCAAACTTTGTTTTGTTTGTCAACAAAAAAAACACAAAGAAAGACGAGACTGATGAGGGAGAAGTGATCATTCTCCACGCAGGACATTTTAAATGCTTTTCTACAAAGTGGAATGCACTCTTTATGGGTCATTGATCCTCAGGAACTGTGCAATAGGAGTGGGGGCTTAAACCTTTTAAAAAACATATTTTATGACTCAAATCAACTGTTCTTAAAATAATTCGTCAATTAAAAATAAATGCATTAATTTAGAATTTATATAAGTAAAGTTAAGCACTTTTATAGATGCTGAAAATTATCTTAATAATTATTCCCAAGTGGAGGAGAGAAGTTTCCATGACTGAGTCAAGGACAGTAAATCACAGGACCACTCGCATTCCTCACATTAAACCTAGGATGAAAAATTCAGCAGCACAAAGCTGTGTACGCAAGCTCATACAACGATCGGTCAGGGACAACAGAGAGCATGCCCCTAACACTTCACATAACTTCCTTCACAGAGGCATTTCTGTGGATATAAATCTGCCACGTTTTCCCGTGGAACACAAGATATTCCACATATACTCCCGAGGACGACCAAACCAAGAGAAACTAAGTGCATCAGTTTCAATAAAAAAGCCATTTCTTACAAGAAGAAAGGTTACGTGGGTTGTCAAGGGAAAAGGGGGAAAAAAGAAACAAAATGGGTTTAAGGAACATAGCAAAACCTTTAACCACCATAGAGCTATGAGGCCGGGGTTTAGTCCCACAGGCGCTAAGCGGCAAATGGGTTCAATTACGGCTCTTTCTGGCCACACACACTCACAAACACACGCACACACACGACTTCTATTGCTATTTCAATAAAGGAAACACCATGAAGAGGGAACCAAACAGGAGGAGAAATGAAAAAAGACAGAAAAATGAGCAAGAGGAAAAAAACAGAAAGAATAGAACATCGCTCAATAATTTACTCCAGATGATGCAACGTCCCCACCATGAGAGACTGTTTTTAACTTTAATTCAAAACTCCTCTGCGCGTCTAAAATATGGAAAAAAGGGGGCAAAACAAAAACATACATAAATGTCAGATAACAGAGGGGAAGGCAAATATAATTCAATGACTGGTGGTTTTAACTGCAAATCAACAGTGATCTTTTTTTGTTTTTTACTTTTCATGAAACTTCATGTTTTTGTGTAAAAAAACTATCAAATTAAGTTTTATAAAAGCAAAAAAAACTTTACTTAAAACTTTATACCCTGGATATAAAGAACATCTTCTATGAATGTGCTATTGCTCTAGATAATGATTTCCTCCTGGGATAAAGAAAATATTTGGAAAAAATCATGGCATCCAACTCCAAAAAGCATGGAGTGGCCCACAATAAAGAGCAAAAAGTGGAAGAAAAAGTAAATAAATAGGTACATAAAAAATGGAGAGCGGTTCAACACACATAGTGAGAGCGGGGAGCGGTGAGAGCGGGAGGAGGAAGAGGATGAGATGCCGTGACACCGGTGTAGTCAGCAGCCGGGGAGCGAGGAGGGCGAAACCCAGGAGAACTGCTTCACAGACACTGAGCGCCCTCTCAGCCGCTCCACGGCAACATTAACAACAACAGTTCAGTGCACACAAACACACAAAGAGCTGTGTTTGCACACAAGCAGTAGTGGTTTTAAATTTTAATGACTGTGGCTATTTTCATAGAGCAGCGGAGAGTGATTCAGAGATTGAGTGATGGGGGACAAGGAGCTGAATGAAGAGCTGCATGGGTGGGGTAATGGATCAGACTGGGCTTTTGTGTATGTGTGTGTAGCCTGCTGACCAGATTCCCTAAAGCGTCTGCAAGGAGGGCTGTGTGTGGCTGCGGCAAGGTCCAACAACATCAGATATTTAACTCAGAAATTGATCCTGAGCTCTTGATATTTTTCTTTAAAGTGTAAGAAAATAAAACTGATCCCAAAGTTGTTTAACATGAAACCAAATTCTGTGTAAAAACAAAACAAAAAAATAGCTCGAACAGGATCCTTGAAGAATCAGAAAGCAGCGTGACGTTTAAACTAAATTAGACATGACATATTGTTTCTAATGTAAATAAAATGAGCTTCACAAAAGACTAACTAATGGTGCAGTCTGAGGGTAAATGGTTTTCCCGTCCTCTCAGATCTCAGATACAGTCCTGTTGCCCTCTAGTGTTACACAGGCAGAGCACGTTTCTGCTGCACCACGACATGCTTGTTTCTGGAGACATTTGATACTTTTTAGGTCATTGCAAAGCCATACCGAGGTGGAAGGTGATAGGATGATGTTTCCGATGGACGCTTTGAGCTCATCTATGTTTGCTCGGTTCTGGTGCGTGCCGTTATTTGGCTGAACGGGTTTGATCTGTACGTGGAACTTCCTGGGCTCATCTTCATCCTCTGAGTCACTGGATGAATAGAAGGAGTTGTCTTTGGCATGTGACCAAAAGAGTTAAAGAAAAAACGAAGAAGAAAGAGACACAAAGCACTTAAAAAGAGATCGTCACACAGTCCAGTTTTGTTTATGCCTGCAGACTGCAGGTGGGTCTGAGTTTCTCTGGCGAAAAGGATATCATTTTCATTTACTTCTGGTCTGATGCAGAAGCCATCTGCATCAACTTTAGGAACATTCTACAAAAAACACAAAGAGAGAATAGTCATTTTATATCAACTTCGAGATCACGAGTCAATTAAGTGACTATGTGAAAACAGCAGCTTTCAAGCAAGTTTACCCAATGTGCTCCACAGATGTTGCTTTTCTAAATTAATTAAAGGGCAGCAAAATAAAATCTTGATGGTTTTGTCTTCTTCACATCTTTGCAAAATATGTGCTTAAATATTTTCTTGTTTATTTCTAAATGATATATTGATTTTATTTTAGAAAAATCCTCCTACATTACCAATAGTCCTTACAAATTCTGGAATAAAAGGCTTGTTTTATCCTTTGTCCAACTAATGCCATATTAAAAAAATGCAGAACTTTAGAAATTTGTAGAAATTTTGTTTCTCCTACTTTAGTCTGAATGAATCTTAACACGTTCTTTATGAACAAAGTTTGAATGTACTGTAGATAAAGTAGATCAACATACTGTTTCTGATATATTTCTTTGCCTTAAAATAAAATAGGAAATACCCACTTTTAATACAAATGCAGTAGATCTTATCAGGTAGAACAGTTCATCCTATGATTTTTTTTCATGGTCAGCTATCAAAAACTGAACAACTCAATCAAAACTTTGTGGCACTACCTGACGTTACAACTTGGATGACTACAAATCTTACAAATCCTATTTCTCTTGAGCTGTTTGTGTGTATGTGTTAGCAAGTGTAGGGTTATTAGGTAGCTTACAGCGTTCTGGATGTCTATGGACCCATAATATCCAGGGGGAGCACCATTGGCAGTGTTCTGTGTGCAGAAACAGAAAAATGAATGAATGAATGAGCAAATCTTCAAAACAAACAACTGGAGCAATGAAATTAAGAGAGAGAAAGAGTCACTTGTTCAGGCGGCAAAATACAGAGCAGAATAAAATGAACAAGGGTCTTGTTAAGCTTCCAGCAGTCTGAAATAATTTAATATCGAGCTGATTTACAACAGATAATCTCAAACAATGCGGACACTGTCCATTTGTATGAGAAAAATATACTCACAGCAGCTTCAACTTCTGTGGACTCTCTGGAAGACAAAACAGCCACGGTGGGGTGAAAAAATCTTCCAAATTTTAGAGGTAAAAAATGTAATTGAATGAAACACATGTGACGACATCCTCACTCACGTGGAGTCTGTGTCTTTGTCTTTCCTGCGGCCTGGGATGCCAAATGGTTTTCTCTTTCTGGGCTTTGCACCTTGAAATAAATCATTATTTATCAGTTGTTGCTCATATCTCAGATTTGTAATTTGATCAACTAGCACTACGTTTATTTAAGTCAAAATGTAAAATCCATTAAAAAAAAAATCTGCACACTTGGCATGAAAACGTACCTTCTGTGGCTATAGCTGTATTGCACTCCTCAAACTCGATGGGTCCTAATGAGACCAAAACAATCATTTAGGTTCATTTGGCACAGAAAGGGTCAATGACCCACTACTGCGAATGCTATGAATGCGCATCACGCAATTGTCACACACGCAGACATACAAAAAAAGGACGCACGGCACAAACACAACGTGCAGCCTGCGTGCTATGCAGAATGTGTGCATACAGACAGGGCTAGGTTGGTCCCAGAGGGCAGACAGGGTCACTAGCAGAGTCAATTGTGTGTCTGGTGGCTCTCACAGGGATGTGACAGCCCCCCCTGGTGACACAAAGCACTGCAATTATACAGTTATTCTAAATGTAGGAAGCGGCTTTGGTGTTTGCAGCAAACTGACCTGAACGGTCTCTATATGGAACTACAATTTAACTGGCACTCATGGGACATACAAAGCTTATAACCCATTTACAATAAGTCAAACAGTCCATGATTATAAGAAACGAAGTGTTTAAAGCCACGTGGACAAAGCTGCTCCTCCGGCTTAAGAAAAGCCTTTTCCTCCTCAATCCTAGCATGTGCAAAATGCCACAGAAAAAGAACGCACTGTAAACAAAACATAATCCCTGACACACTATTACACAAACTAGTCATCAAATCTATTCCACCTAACGGCCACAAAATCACTTTGGGCACAACCAGCCGTGTGTTTACGTTGGCAAAAAGTGGAAGAAAAACATTTCTTTTCATTCTTCAAATACATCAATCACACGATGAGAATGTGCCAAAACCAACTAAGTTTACACCTAATTTGATACTCATCGATCATGCACATTTACCCCCAAGGCACCGCAATTCGATTTTCATGCTTCATGTGACAGTTCTGAAATATTTACTGTGTCTGTTTGAAAGGTTAAGGCACAAACAAGCTCATAAAAACTGACGCAATGAAAATTTGAGCATTTAAAAAATCTAGATGCAATGTGGATACATGTCAGTCCTGGGGGCCGGGCTGCTGAGGTTATTTTGCGCATCGATCATATTAAGAAAGATGGACAACCTCTGCTCTCCAATCAAACAAACACAGAGCACTCAATTTTTGTGAAACCGAGAATAATCCACGGATGTGCTTCGCTTTTATGCTGCTGGTGTTGCGATTATGAATGGATGAGAGGAGCTGCAGTCTCTATTTGCAAACAAATTGACACACTCAAACATCCCTCATGCTTTACAATTGAGAAGCTAAGCACTGGCATGAGGAGGAGGGTGACACAGGGACAGAAAGATGAGGCATGGCCCTGCGGCAGTAGTCCTGCTGTACTAACTTGCCTTGACCTGAAAACAACAAAGCTAATGATATTTTAACTCAAAATGTATACAGTAGCGGCGGCCCGATGCGGTCTCCCCAGAGGATGCCAGTCACGAGCAGAATTGACGCATTGTTTGGCGTGTGCAGTGCTGAGTGAAGTGCAGGGAAGCGGCGAGTCACGAGAGGCATGCATCACGCCAAGTGAAGTGGATAAAGTACACCAATGACCGATATACCCCACTGTGCAATATCAGGCCTCTTCGCCGCTGCCAAATACACAATGGCAGCACGAATGACTAAGGGAGTTTCATGCCAATCAAAACAAAATCAGCACGCTTATTCAAGAACTTTGTCGCAGCAGGAACAAACACCGACTATCTTGCTTCATGGTATGGATTGAAAACAGAGCTAAATATTTTGATATTTAACTCATGACATCAACGTTCACTCTTGCATCAGTTGATGACATTGGTGTAAAAAGGTACGAATATATTTAGAAAAGTTCCCTGACGTGGAAAAAATGGCCTCAAGATCAACACGGGACCCTGGCAGAGAAGGAGGGCTTTGCTGCTAGCATCCTGCTATTGCATCTGACAATATTTATGCACAACAACTGCAAAAAAAAAAAAGAAGAAAAAAAGAGGAAAAAATCCAACCGGCACACACATGAATGTCATCGAAAATCTGGACAGACATTAGGAACTGTTTAAGCCTCTCCTAAACAGACAGACGACTGTGTTTATACAAGGGAAGATGTTTCTTTTCTCTCTACTCTGTGAGGGAAGCATGCAGTCACGCATGAGCGGAAAATGGTTTTTTTAATTGCATATGCTTCACATGGCACTGGGAGTGAAAGAGGGGTGTGGGGGGGGGGGAGTTTGCGTGTCTGGCCCACAGCCAGTTGACAGCTCAGCTGGATATCGTTGAACACTCCGAACCCCCCTGCCTCGCAGCGTGTCACTTTGGGATTGTTTCCGCAATAGAAAGTTTATTCAACCTCTCTCTCTCTGTAAAGGCCCTGGCCTGGCCATCCGTTCAGCTATTTCATCAGGGGACAGACAGGTTATTTTTCTGACAGAGCCGGAGCTGCTTTGCAATCCCTAATGAACAGCTTGATACTAAAGGAATTTTCTGACCATTTTTTCAACCTCAATTAATTCTGCTGTCCAAACAAATGAAGGCCACCACTCGATGGACGCAGAGTTTGGAAACAGGGGTCACCACTTGTGTACACACAAACACAGCGGAGGTGAGCTCTTTGTGCCCGTGACCTGACATAATTTCTTACAAGTACAAGAGAGACTAGTGAGGTCATTTTTATCACAGCGCACAGTACACAGGATTCAAACTGCATAGACTAGAATTGACCAAATTAAAACAGTATAAATGAATCGATTCGGAGCTCCAAATAAACAACTAATAATCAGTTCATTTGAATATGTGTGAGTGTGTGGGTGTGAGGGTAACACAGAAAGGTGAGGGGGTAGAGCCAAAGGGTCTGAGGAGTATTCCCTTGATAATTGTGGCATGGCAAAGTTTACACAAGAGTCATTGTTGAGCTCTGACCTCCTCAAAAAGTTGGTTATGCCTGCTTAGTCTGCATGCACAGCAAAGCCCCCTGCGTGTCACATGCTTACTGGAATGTCAAGCTGGCCTACCTTTACAGCAGATTACTATGATTGCCTCTGATGGTCCTCTCTTACTTCTAATTACCCCTCTCTATACACCACCCCCTAAGCAGCATCAGCTTGAAAGTTTTAACCATTGTAGATTATATAATGGATCAGCACATATATGGAAAAACATTCAAAGTTTAGGTAAAATAAAGAAAACTCTGGTGGCTCACCTGGTCTTTCCTTGCCTGTTCCTTTGCTCTCGGACAGTTTCTGGACTAAGCTCTCCACTGACGTGTTCTCAATGTTCCTCATAAATTCATTGTGGACCTAAAAAGTAAAAATAAATAAATAAATATCTGCATACATTTCAAATTTGTTACATTTGTTTGACATACACATACAATGGTGTGAAAAAGTAATGTTTCCAAAAAAATGGGAATACATTTTTTTTTTAATCCAGCAAAGACTTGACATATCTGAGAGACTGACTGCCGAAGCCTCTTCAGAAATGGTCTCCATGGAAGTGTGGCTGTCAAGAAGAAGCTCTTTAGAAAAGGAAACTGGGAGAAAACGCTGAGCTCTGCCAAATGACACAAGAAGTGAACTGATAATCAGACGCAGCAGTCTTTATGGAGGGATGAATCCTCCCCAGAGCCCGGACCTCAACATTATTGAAACAGTGTGGGATCATCCTGACACAGAGCGGAACAAAAGGCAGCCAACGTCTAAACAACAGCTTTGGGATGTCCTTCAAGAAGCCGGCAGAATTATTCCTGAAGACTGCTTAAATAAATAACAAGACTGCCTATGTATAAAAGAATGTTGTGAAGCTCAAGACCTTTGCAGTTCTGTGCAGTTTAAACACGATGCACAGCTGAAACACAGCTCAAAACTTTTGACCTCAGGACTACTACAGCTCACCAACATAAAATGCATACATCACAACATAACAACTGTCTGTGAAGAGCTGACACAAAATTGAGAATGTGGACACTTTGTGCTAATGCTAAATAACATTACATTTGGGTGTAAAACCTGTTCATGAGTACAGATTATGACTGGGAATATCCCCCCCGGTTTAATTAAGTCTTTCGATGCACTGTAATTAAAAGACTGATCCTTCCTTTGCTTGTTTGTGTTTTTTGTTTCTTTGGCCTTGAAGATATTACCATGGATTTAAAAAAAAAAAAATAGTACTCATCATTAAGACACTCATTGTTTGTGATTTGCTGTTTCAAAGCCACAAGTTTGGCATTCAGCCTTCTCCATAATGGCTCACTTGGAGCCAGAAAGGACCATATTTGGGCACAAAAGTGGAGGAATTATTTTCAAAAGGACCACTTGCGCTCTGATCAGTAGGAGTGAATCTTGATAATGACACCATAATGACTTGCGGGGGGAAAAAATGATAGCCTTAAGACTTCCCGAAGGAAGTTTAAGGTTTTTAAATTCATCGTAGCCAGAAATGAAACTCACCAACAGTCAGTAAATATACAGTTACCAACTGGCTTCACACTTTAGACCAAGTGATTGCCCACTGGGGGTGGGGGGGCATGGGGTATATGTATCGGCATGAAGATGAAGAACAGTGGTTGATTGTGCTATCTCAACAAACCCCTCAGTTGTGCGTGATACTGTAAGAACGGAGTGGCTCCACTATCGAACAAACACACACACGTATATGTGTCTTCCCCCCCAGGCCCCAGTGGTGAGGTGGAGTGCATTAACCCTCTATGCCCTGGAAGGAGGATGTTGGGGGAAGGGTGGGAGTGGTTCGGGTGAGGCGACAGGGAGGTTGCTGCGGTGAGGAAGTATGCTCAGAGCAGCACACGCAACCTGTCAGGTGCTGCTACCATGATGGCGGCCACTAATGTCATCAACCTACAAACACACAGGTACACAGACAGAAAACGACCTCATCCTACTAAGACTTTTGACCACATGCATCTGCCTGAAGGCATCCTCTAATCACACAAACATTCACTTATTAGTGGCACGAACACAAGCGTGCACACCCTTTTGGTTCACGTCCAACATGTTCAAACGTGTATAAAAAAAATAAAATAAACAGCCCAGCTCAGATTTTCATTGAGGGAGACACTGATCGAGGACAACCCTTTTGTTTTTATTGCCAACAGCAATTTGTCTGTGTTGATTTAATGTCACTGGGCTGGAGGCAAAATTGGGTTCTACTACTGAGGGAGCTAAATAGAATATGATATAGTAATAACTATTTTTGTAGCCACACCAACTATATTACTATATCAATATAAATAAAAAAATATTATAAAAAAATCTAATACATTTAAAAGGATTTAATCCATAATAACCAAAGGATATTTGCCCATAACTGGGGAACAGCTAGTTGCACCCATGGCTGACAGTTTATGAAAGATACTTTTTTAAACTGTGAAAGATCACGATGCTCCTTAAACATGGTGGAATTATTCAGTATCAATCAGTCTCAGTAAGACATTTAAATATTTCGGATGGTGTGGTTTCTGCTTTGCTGAGAGTTGACCATGAGCAGGTCAATAATCGAATAAACTGCTTTCAACAGAGGAAGGCTCATGCAGTTGTGGGGAAGTAAACGAGGTTGAAGAAAAATGGATTCAAATTTAATTTGAAAATTTCTTTTAGTAATTGCTCTGCTAAATCATTCTTTTTTTTTATCAATCATCCACTGCTGATTGTCAGTAATTATATAATTCACTGTGAAGGATTAAAGTTTTTTTTGCCTCATTTACCATCTACTGGAATTAATAAATTCAAGGGTATAATTTTACCTCAAAAATATACATAATATACTAAAGCTAAATAAATATAAGTCTTAATTTTTTAATTCCCTATGCTACTGAACATTAAGGATGTTCAGTAACATTAACAGTGTTAATCTAATTTTATTTAACAGTGTTGCACAAGTATGTAAGGTTTTTTTCTCGTCTTTTTAAAAACAAATATCAGAATTGCAGGATGTAAATCTACATCGTGAGTACAAAACAATGTTGGGAATAAATATTAGACAAACTCTTTCCTCAGAGGAAAAAGGAGCATGTATGTCAGCGTTTGGAACTTTTTTCTTTATCATTTTCTTTCTCAAAATTTTTCATTCTCTCTTCTTGCTTCTTGAAATTTGGTGAAATAATAACACATGCATTGCCCCTATTTGTCAGTCATTTTCTTACACAGTTTAACATTAGCGGGTTTGGATAGCCGAACCACATGTATGCAGAGCAGCTTCGACTGCTCAGTGGCAGGAACTGTGGGGCTCAGTGACCTGCAGAGTCCTGTCACACCTAATTCTTTTAAACAAGCAAAAAGGTATGCTCCATGGAGATAAAAATCTCCATGGACCCTATTTTAAAAAAATGTTTGTGGAGCTCTGTCGCCTCCTAGAGGAAAATAAAAGGATAACTGCAAACTGTGTTTGTGGGGGCAGTGAGCTTGTAGTTAGTCCTGATTTATTCTGCGTGGGATTTAGAAATATGATTGGTCATTAAACTAATTAAATCAAACCTCTGGTTAACATTAAATTCTGACTAATGTTGTTCTGGATGATGTTTGAAAACCTTCACAACTGGACTTGATGTAATTTTCTCAAACCCAAACACACCTTTCCAGAAACAATCAGGCCCATTTGGAAAACCTAAAACCATATTTGGACAGTGTGTGGATTTCTGGAGGTGCTTCAATAGGCTGAGAGGGAGTTTTGATCAGTTTTTAATTGCTTGGTATTAAAGGATGACTGAACCATTTCCTGCCTTTTAGTTAAATTATTAGCAAGATCAAAGATGACACTAATTGAGATGACAGAGAGTGGACCCAGTTAGTACACGCTAGGGGCCAACAAAGACACCTACTCCACCCACAGGAATGTCTGAGAGTAAATACGTGCGCTTGTGTCATTGTGCGAACACACGTACCTCTCCAATCTGAATGTGTGTTTCATCCACTGACTGTGAGTATGACCGAATGATCTCCTTCATGTGGAGGATGTGGTTTTCTTCAATGTCTTGGAATTTCTGTAACACACATTGATGATATTTATGATGCTGTAATGCAACAAATCAGTCACTTGAAGTCACATTAAGCAGATGCTGACACATTTGCAAAGACATGAAAACAGAAATAAGTTCAGGGAAAAGAAACTCCAGCCTGGGGAATGTCTTCTTCTTGTATCCTTATTCTGTTTATGTGACTTCATATGTGTCTGTATGGGTGGTCTATGCCTCAAACATATAGTTCTTCTCACAATGTGCCAGTCGTAGTCATAATATTGATTGATGTGGCTTCCTCTCTGGCTTTTAACAGAATAGATTTCAAACTTGAACTCTGACATCCGACTCTTGAGTTTCTGTGATAAACACGAGAGATAAAGTATCCATAATAATAAAGGGGAAACCTTCAATAAAGCTAGAGGAACTTTACTATTCACAAACACAAAACAGATTCTACATGTACATTGCATGAATAAATATGCTGAAATGAAATTTCTGCTTTTTATAAGATAGACGCACACATGGCTTAGACAATGAAGATGCACATGTATGAGCCCAGTGATGCCAGGGAGCACATGTGCTCAGTGTTTATAAGACACGTCCACATGTGCGGCGGGGGAGATGAGCCGTAGACTATGATCCTGTGGAAGCAGAGCCACAATGCCGCTTTCTCTCGGGGAAAACAAAAATTTTGGGCTAACTGAAACCAGCTCCAGTGGCGGCACTGCTGCGGTACAGGAGGATATCGGGTCCAAATTCTGTTGATCTGATTTTAATTAGGAGTTTATCTAATCAGCCTTTCAGATGGATCCAATTAGGGATTTGCACAGCGATTCCGTTATGGAGGAAAAAACACAATCTGGAGATGATACAGGGCACCGAACACGGAACAGACGCACACTGGACTGACATAATGCACAATAATCTATTGCATACCACAGACACAGACAACAAGCAGGATTTGTGAGAACAAATTTCATTAGAGTTGGTAAACACAGGGGAGGAAAATTGCTTTTCACTCCTTATGTTACCTGTGCAGTTTCTGCCATCTTCTGTTCAAACTCGGACTTGGCTGTGGCATATTTCTCCACGTATGATTTGTACGTCTCTGTGGCTTTTTTGGCTTTGACTCCGGCCTGTGAAGTATAAACAAATAGATAAAGGATGCTTTTGTATATTTAATGTTGTAAAATGGACAATGACTACCCTTTTTCCAGGATTAACGGACATCAAGAAAATGAATCTTCGTGCAACATCTGAAGGCCAGAAGCTTTCAGGGTTAAGGCTTTGACTTAACTGTTAAGACACTTCATCATGCCTTACTGCCATACCATGATTGCGTGCGTATGTGTGTGAAGGAGAGTGACCTCCCACCTTGTCCACATCTCTCTGGGTGGCCCCCTCTTTGCGGAGGCGTTCCTGCTCAACGGTTTTGGCATTATAGATCTCCTTGGACTTTTGAAGCGCCTGCGAGATGCTCTGGATGTTCTGGACCGCTTCCAATGTTGGTGCCACCTCTTCTTTTGTCTGAAAGGACACACATCTTGTCCATTAATTCGTTTAACTGGCCAAATAACATGAGCAAGCCTTAAACATTGCACCGCAGAACAATAAACAGACAACACTTGTCCTGGAACACCCCTGTTTATTATGTGAGTTTAAAAAAAAAAAGGTTAGTGTAGACAGAGACGCTTTATAGGTCTACTGCAACGCTAATTCATCTCTGCTGCTTCATTCTCACACATGTGACACAGACCCCTGGCAGAGCACAGCGGGAAGCAATTAAAGCTATATAACAGCTATTAAAAAATATATACAACTCTTTATTTGATCTGAGCATGCTGCCTTCATATCAACTTCAAGCATTAAAAGGACATAAAGAGACGAGTATAAACAAGGAGCAATCGCTTACAATTACAGTGACCACACAGTAAGCTGGGATCATCATTGGCTTTATCCATCAGGATCAGCACTGAACCCTTTTAATAATGACAATTATAATTGAATTCAAACAGCCATGGCAAAACTAAACAACAAGTAAGACCTTATATCACATACAAATCTGAAGGATCTACAGGAGTTTAAAGTAGGCAATTCTTTTTGGAGGCTCACACTGCTTAAACAGTGTCAGCTAAACACCGGAGAGACGGAGCAGAAAGAAACATGGAGTGTGAGGAAGCGACAGAGAGAAACTGTCACAGCCTTTTTGTTTTGCTGAAAGCCCTAACACAGCCCTGCTAATTCAATAATACTATTTCACTGTATTTTCTGTGGCTTCATGCATGAGATATGAGCTGATACAGTGGCTCAGCAAAGAAAGGAGATGAGGAGAAACGAAGTGAAGTAAAAAGTCGCATAAAACCACGTTGTTAGCGGATTCCTTTTGAAAAATCATTTCCATTTTGTTTTTACTTCTTGTGATGTAGTCTTCCATATCTACATCTTCTGTGGTTCTTTTATGGTCTCTGGGGAAAGAACTGGAGCAGGAAAACACTTAAAATAACACCAAAAAAACTCACACCTGGAAAGACTTTTTCATTTCGGTTACAGATAACCCAGCACAATCCCTCTTACAAAAACCTGACAGAGAACAAGCCGTCAAATTCAAATCCTCTATTTTGCATATACATTTCAATCAACAATACACAAATTAGACATTTGTGTAGATATGAAGTCATTATAATAGCTTACCATTTGAAAAAATGTTAGAATATTTTTACAGACACACCATACCATCTGTTCATTTCTCTACTACTCATGACTAAAATGCTGCTCATTAAGGCCAAGTTTCTCCCCTTGCCACATCCCATCTGTTTTTCAGAACCACAACACCCCGTTGACATTAGCTGTCAAACAGAGGCGACTGACAGCCTCTTAAGCCAGTACACTGGGGACGCAAAGAGGAAAAACTACCAATGAATGAAAAACTGAACAACTGCAAATACGTTTTGGCTATATTTGCATGTAAAATGTTCTGAACCAGAGTCCATTAGCGGAAGTGCTCCCACATTGCTCAGTTGTGGTTACTTCAGCAGGAAGCAGCTAAAGTTGATAAATTATGTTGAATTAGTGGTTTCACGGTTACTGTTCATGCAAAACAAATCAAAAGTGCCATTTATCATAATGTTGATATATTGTATAGTGTTAAAAACAAGCACACAAACAAACCAACAAAAATGTATACATCTTTGAAAGTAGCACCCAAGCGCCCCCCAAAAGGCACACAGGAATATGTTGCTGTGTAATTATCAATTTGGCGTAAATTAATTAGCACTTTGGGGGGAAAAAGGGTCTATTGTCATTAGTGGTAAGAGTTGCTTGGTATGTGAGCGATTTGTATCAAACCTCATGATCACAATCATCGACTAGATAACATCCTCACCTTCTTGTGTGCTTTGGCCTGCTCCTCCACATATTTCTGAACTTCCTTTATAAGTTCTTGTAATTTCCTCACCAGCTCCATATGACAACTGGCCAGTTTCTCTGTTGAACTCTTAAACACATCCCACACTGGAGCAAATGTCCTGTCATAAAAGATGACATAGAAATGTTAATATGCACATAAATAAGGCTGCTATTTTCTTTTAAGAGCCTGGAAAATGTCTGAACTCACCCAAGCTGAGAAAAGTTGCCAGATGACTTGGCGAGTTTGGTCATTGACCTGGCATAGGCATCTTCAATGGTACTCCTGGGAGAATAAAAAAAAAAAGAAAGACAAAACCTATGATAAAATACGCAGATTATATGTTAGATCTTGTTAAAGTTATATCGAATTAACTATTTCAGATGGCCTCAGTTCATACTTTAAACAGTAAAAAAAAACATTAGTACAATTGTTCTGGTACATTTGTACAATTGTTCTGGTACATTTGTTCCCCAAGAACCTGAAACTCCACATGCGAGTGAACAGAGGAAAACTGCCAAAAACACACAGAACTAACAACACTAAAGCAAAGTCACATATACTGTGTGTGGGGAAATTTTTATCAGTTTGACTCGTGAGTCGTAAATGAACTTCATTTTGAAGATAAGACGGTACAAAATCTGTTGTTTGAATCCCCTGCTTCCCAATATCTTACTCTTCATTTCGTTACAATGCAACAAAGTGACAGGAGGGAAAAAAAACTGCAGCCATGTAACAGCCAAAGCCTGAATTATGCATGTCCAGCTCAGTCAGCTTCTCTCTGCAGCAATGCCACAGGAACAAGGTCAGCTGGGGGGAAACGGGACAGCCGTGCACACGCACAGACACAAAGACACATCCATTATGCAGGAACACATAAACAGCCAGCTCTAAACAATGCATAAGACCGAGAGAACGAGAAAGAGGCGCAATGCTTTTTACATTTCAACTTGAACTTCAGCATGCTGTTCGTTCTTTGTCGTATTGTAAAACTGCCTCCCCCTCCTCCTTCTGTGGTGTGTAAAGTCAGTCAAAGATCATCTAAATTCAGCTGGTTCAAAATTAGTGGGAAAGAAACCAAAAAGCCAATTTGTCTGCTTAGGTATATTTAAGGAGATCGAAGAGCAGGGACCGGCAATTTGGTTTCACTCCAGGAAAGTTCAGTTATAACTGAGGGAACATAATGTAATCAAACATCATTAAAAGAAAGTTGAAAACTTAGAATAGTCCAGAGTTTGTCAGCACCACACTAACAAGGTGGGGAGAGAAACTTCTCTTCCTTTTTTATGACACTTTTTCTAATAATTTGGGAACTAGGGGGTCCTAACTGATGCAGAAGGGATTTACATCCATGCCTAAACACAGCGGGGCATCATTCTGAAGAGGTTGTTTCCGCTTTTAATGTTGGGCCAGAGCAAAAAAAACATTTCTATGCATCAAATGCGTGTAATGAGTTTTTCTCACCGCCAGAGGTCGCTATAGTATATTTTTCAGTCTTTCTATTACTCTTTGAGGGCAGCAAAAGTCTACCTGACTCGAAGTTTTTATTTGAATAATAATGCATTGAATTCTGTCATTGTGCAAATAAACAACTGCCTGCAGAGTGAAGCATGTTAATGTTTAGGCAAAGTTGGACAGAGTTAGAGTGGTTCAGAGAGCACCGAGCTTTACTGATGCTTAAACTGCAAGCTTTATTCTGCAAAAGTATGTTTTTTTTTTGTTAAACATTATCTTAACATTGGAAGTTTTTCCTTATAAACCTCTGCCTCTAAAGGACAAACAGGACAATCTGCACTAACATGCAAAGATATCTGTGTCAAAACACTACGTAAACTGACAAATGAATGAACAACTCCAAGGTTAAAGGCCTTTGAATTGTCATTGTTCATAATGGATAACGCTCAGGTCAGTGAGCGTGTAGAATTGCGGGCAAAGTGTTAAAGCACCTGAGTCACTGAGAACATTTTTCAAAAGGTAGACGGACAGTGGAATTTACTGCTGGATTCCAGCGGTAGGCCATCTATCATGCAGCAGGTTATAAACAAACCGAACCAAAATTCACCGACTGAAGCTAATCTCCATAGAGCTGGGAAGGATTTGAAAAGAATCTATAATAACAGTGTTGTCAAGCTGCAGACACTGATGGTGTGCAACACAAAACCAGGGCACAGGTGGAATTATGTATAACCTCTCTTGACAAAAATATGATTTTGCGTAATGTGTAATATTTGGGTAAATAAAAGTTGTACCTCCTCAATTGATCTGCTGTCTCTTGCTCACAGTAAACTCAGCAGCTGGACCTGAGCCTGTTTGTCTGAACCGTCAGCTAAAGTTATATGATTGGAACTAAAAGTGATACAGAGGACACTTCGGTACATAAAAAAAGAGAGAATATTGGCATGGACAGGAAAACACAAAACATAACCGGTTATCCTGCGATGCCACAAACAGGCTTGCGTCTTACCTTTCTCTGATGAAGTCTGTCAGCTCCTTGGTGGAAATTTGGCCGTGCTTCATGTTGTGGTAGAGCACATCAAAGCCATTATTCTTTTCTCCCTGCATGTGAGAAAGAACACAAGGCGAGCAAACATTAGGTCCGTCGAAAAAGCAGCACCAACGCCGCCCATCGGTCCCAGATCAGTGATTACCAAAAAGGCTTTTTCTGCCATCAGCACTCTCATTGTCTGCATAGCCTCTAGTTGCATTTGCAGCAACTTCTGGTCAATCATGCTCATCTTGGCCATGTTTGAGATGAGAATATTTTTTTAAAAACTCTACGAAAAACAGCAACAGGCTGGTCTAAAGCCAGAACTTATGGTGTGAGCTTTTGTTTTTAACTATGCTGCTTGGTAACGGTGTCCCGTAACACAGATGCTTTAAAAATGCAAATGTTCTCTCTTCTAAATGATTAATGTGCGTTAAATAAAAGTGCTGGGCTTGAATTCTGTAAAGCGCACCAATAACATAAATAAACAACAAACACAGCAAATATTTAATTCTGCTAAAAATTCAGTTTCATTCTGTTTTTATTGCTTCAAAATTTGTTTCCCTGGTAGCTTTTTAGCCCTAATAAAGCCAACAAGTTGCAGTGATGACAGGTAGCTGATTTTCGACTATTTAATATCAGTAAATATTCAAAGAATAATCACTGTATCAATAAGGATTAATGAAACTTTAACTTGTTTGTGTTTATCACACCAAAAAAATGATATGAAAATGTATTGGATTTCCATAATTGTTTCTTAACCTTTGAATATGTTTATTTACATTATAACTCTTTACATATTTGCAGTTGTTTTTTTCTTTGTTTGTATTATGATGACATTTTGGTTCAGGGTGCTGACTAAAATATAAAAGCAGTCAGAAGCAGAAGACTAAACTTTTAGACCAGAATACTGAGTGCACAGTTTTCTAAAATATCCATGTTGACTCGGAGAAGAGGAGAAACCACTTCTTTTCTACTTCCCTACACAGGTTGTTAAATTTAGGTGGAAGCTTGGAATTAAACAGCAGCGTGTTGGGGCACATTTAAAGTGTCTGTTACGTGAAGCGAGAGATTCTGATAAAAAGGCAGCGGAGGGCCAAAATGATAACTCCGTTTAACAACACAACACCTGACAAAGACGCCTTCTAAAGTCAAAGAAACCCACGTCTGTGCCATCTGCAGCACTTTACCCTCGTTCTTTTATAAGTCTGTGTTTTAACTAATCCCCGGGCTATTGCAGACATTTCCGAGTTCCTGGAGGGATCCGCTGTCAGCAGTTTGCCCCAAACTAGTGCTGATTTAACACATGGTGTTGGCTCTGTCTTTCCACACAGACAACGATGAAAGTTCAGGAAGTTTGTTTCAGAGCGCTCAAAGCTGAATCCAAAGGAGGTACAGTATATTTGCAGAGCAAACAGACATTAAAAGAGAAAGCATCCTGCTCCACGGCTACAGCTCGGTGGCCTGTGTTTTACCCCTGAGAGCGGACCACTGAGATGTGCTTCCTGCTGCAAGCACAAACCTGTTCAAAAGTCTGTTGCGGTGGCATGCAAACGACAGCCCGCATGGGGCGTCAAGCTGGTTCAATCAGACACTATTATTACACAAGCATTATACAATGCTGCCTGAGCAATAACAAACACAATGAGACAGACTGACAATTGGCCAATCAGTCTACAAAACAGGGAAGTGACGACGGGGCTCCAGGCACAGCAGAGACAGGAAGAAAGTCTATTCTGGACAGAAAGCCCACTCGTGGGGGATGTTGATATCAACGCGTACAAAAGAAAAATAAAAACAAACACGGGAACCACCTAAGGGCGTTTTTTACTTTTCACGACTTACAATACTGGAAGTATTTTTCAAAATTTGAAAAAAAGTACAGGAAAAGAAACCAACGGCTAAACGAGGGATTTGAAATGGATGAAATTAAAATTCAGCAGAGAGCAGCGGCAGCTACATCTGCAGAGTAAGACCACGTTATGCAACAATCTCCTCTAGACACTCATTGATGAAAGCCCCCGTAGCCGGCGTTAATTATTCCAAACCGAGCATTGTGAAGTGCAGAAGAACTCCCGTTTGGACTGACGTGGTGGCAGGAGAGCATGCTGGGAACCTGGCACACGTCAACCCGAGTTTATCTGAGAAGTAGCCTTATTCGTAGCTTCTGAGCAAAAGAAAGAAGTCATAAACCCTGTCTGATATTAACTCAGCCTTTACAATCCTGCCTGTGGTGCGCTGCATCTGCTCTATGTCCTCTCTCTGTGGGCTTTGGGCCAACAGAAAAATAAGAAAAAAGAAAGAAAGGTGACAGCTCTGCGACCAGACACATCTGGACATTGCTTCGGCTGAGAAGAGTTGTCTCAGAGGGAAAGCATTGTCCAAAATAACTCAATTTTCAAGCAATAATTCAAAAATAAGTCCATTTCCTTTCTCTAATGCACTCATAAGCCTGGATAGCTTCTGCTGCAGCAGACTGCACGCACATTTCCCTCAATTTTCTGTCATTTGCAGGGCTAAATAAAGCAATTATCCCGGGATATAACTGAATAATCAGCGCTGTCATGTTAACAAATAAATAATTGGATAATCGGTTACTATTTGCAGAGAGGGAAGCTCTTTCTGGTCTCATTTCAGACAGGATAACAGCGCCTCCTCATAAGCACACAAAATTTACTGAGTGGAGCCAAAAAACCTACATGGTGACATCAGCAAGTGAAAGTGTCATGTTTCCAAAACAAACAACATGCTGCTTTTGTAACCTTTTTTTTTTTACTGTATGTGGACACAACAGCTTCGTTATTGCGGAGTAAAAACGAAGTAACGGACGCTCTCAATCTGAGAGAAACACCTTGTAGGAGAGACACAAACCCCCAGAGTTTATGCAGTTTATCATCTCACATCTGCTGGGCAGAGCAGGACAGGAATGCACTGTCTTTTTGTGCGAGCACAATGCAAGCTGCAATATCCTGCGCGTGACGAATCAAGTGTAACACAACCTAGGACACCAGGACAGAGCCGCTTGTCTCCGTTTAACCCTCCGACAACTGAAGAACACCACAGTGACCGGACATCGCTGTGTGGCTGAAGTCATTCCCTAAGTTGTGCTGAGGGGTGGGCTGCTGTGAACATGCACAGAGAAAATGCTTTACAAGGTGGAAAGTGGAACCACTTCCCGAATAAATCCACCTCTCGTGCTTCAGCTGAATGGAAAACTGTCAAAACGGGCTTTGTTCCAATATTTTCTCCGGGGAACGGTGCGAGAGAGGGAAAAGTCAATACAAACTATTGGAGGCTTCTCAGCTGAGATGAATTCATCACCGGTGTAGGTAAAAAGCAGTGAGTTCGCAACTGACTCAATATGATGTGTTCACATGTTCACTTGACTGTTTTCTCTCTTTTTTTCAGCAAATCTACTTAAAGCTGCGAAACCACACAAATGGGAAGAATTCCCCTGACACAGTGAACGCTGCATCCTCACTTCCTGAAATCTCATTCATGCTTGTCTGGCTTTTTCAGCTGCTTGTTTTCCTTATTGTGTAACCTTTTTCTCAGAATGCACACCTAGCAGCTAGTCGGGCACGCCCTCCCACAGAGCAGCCATCTTTTCTTCTTCTTTTAGATCCGATTAGAATGTCACAACGCAACACAACAATAAGCTCTGTGCTTACGCTCAAAACATCATCAGTCAGAGACATTATTCCTCGATTTGGCTTCGACCCTGTTGTGCCTTTATCACACATGGAGCCGTCTGTATGTTTATGGCACTACTTGATCTGAGCGAGGCATCCACTGAATATTTGGTCAAGGTCCACTGGCGTTGAAATAGTGACAATTGGAAACGTAAGGCGTGAGGACTCTTTTCAGTCCCATAAGAAAGTCAAGAATGAGCGCTGCTGGGATTTCGTGTCATCTTTTGTGCGACGGAGAATGCTCAGCTGACGTCAGCCCCGGGTTTGTTTAGATGCCCTATTGTATTCCCTCTTGCTCCGAGGCTGTCGTGCATGCACAGACCCAGGGTGGCATTTCAGTGCTCCAACTATACGATCTACCCCTGAAAAAGATATCTCAGTCCGTTTCAACTAAATGCTAAACAAATCTTTCTTGTTAATGGCGAGCAAAGAAAATAGAGATCAATGTCCATTTTTCCACTTCAAACCTATTGCAGTAGACCACCAGAAGACCTTTAAAGATTTTGACACCAGTTCTAGAGCAGGATCATATCAGCGTTTGTCGTGTGACCTGAGCGGTCACAGGCTGATCTTTGCCACATAAAAGAAAAAAAAAAATGCTTCCTCATACTTCGTGTTCGAATAGTGACCTAGAGGAACAGAGGCATTACTCTCCTTTTCTGTTTTACGCACTCCTGTCTGACCATAACTTTTGGGCTGAGGCCAAGACTCGCTCAGTAAATTCTGTGTGAACCTGAAAGACCACACACAGAACACAGACAGGGGGAGAAAAGGCCATCCTGTTGGCTGTATCAACACTGTTTGCTTATCACACTGCCATCTTATTTTCCCATGACACACTGCAGGCTAGCAGACGACACATTAAACATGAGCTCATGAGACAGCGTTAGAGAGTCTGCCGCCGCACCGGTCCACATACTCAGACCTTTCAGCACATGTCACACATACTCAACTTATGTTACACACACTAAAAAAAAAAAAAAAAAAAAAAAAAAGGGGAAATGAGACCGTGCCTGTGATTGAATCCAGTGAGCGGAAATGCTGCTGCCAGCAGCCAGTCAAATGAAGCAACCCTGACAGAGAAACAACATTTTCTGCCCCACGTCTGCCTTCTAATTCTTTAAAGCACTTGTTTATTCACCTGAAGGGGGATATTTACATAAAAAGGAAAAGGAAAGAAGCTGAAATAGAAAAATAGAAAATTGATTGAAAAAAAAAAGGTTAGAATAAAAGAGCATGGAATGGAGAAAATCTTGCCGCCTTTCGGAGAGGTGAAATGAAAAAATGCTCAGGATTTGACAGAATAATGTGCATACGTGTTTGCTTGCTGGGAAGATTTTTAGTCAAGTCAGAAGGGATGCTAAGTGTGTGTATGTGTGTGTGCGCCCTGCATGTTAAACACACAGCTGATCATTGCCATCACTGGATTCTCTTGTAGCTCACTGCAGGGCACAAAGGGCAGATTGAAGAATCAGGAGTGCTTCAGCTCTCCTTTTTTTTATCCCTATTTAGTCAATGATGTGGTCTCCCTTAGAAATAACAACAAGGTAACGATTCTGGTACCTTCTGAGGCTTGGTTAGGAAAAATGTTTAGTTTTTATTCATTATACCTGCTTTGTAAGCAGTACACTCTCCCCGGTCTTGACCAGGTGCAACTGAGGTCAAGTCACGCCGAAAACTGTAGAAAACTGGCTACAGATTGAATGGAGGTCGTTTCCAGCCGCTGTCTCTGGTTCAACATGTCAAGACACCCAAAATAAAAATATATGTTTGGGCAACAGATGTCAGATAAAAAATCGACACCAAAAAAACGATTAAAGCAATTCAATAAGAAAGATCTACAAAGACAGACCAGTCCTCTGTCAGACCATTTATTGCATCTATTCCAAGTGTTTCAAAAGAGCACAAACAATTATTTTTAACAAGTCAAAAAAGGCCAAATGTCATTTTAAATATCATGCTGTTGTTTTTATTTCTAATGATGGTTTGTTTACCAGTTATTAGACTAATATTATTTCAAATGCAATAGACAGTGAAAGCAGGAAGACGAGCTTGAACGCAGCCACGTCAAATAATCGGCAGGAAGATGACCTTTAGCAGCACACGGGCACGCGCCGCGATTCCTAATTACCCCACGCGAGAGCCAGCCGTGGAGAATACCAGCCACAACACAACAAGAGACTGGCTCCCCTTTTTTTCTTTTTTTTTTTTCACCGAAGCCCTTCTAACTTCTTAAACATCTGGCCTCTCACCGAAACTTTCATACGGAAGAATATGACGCTACCGTCGAAAAGCTCCCGACTGACAGCCCGGGCGTCCAATCGCATTCGTGGAAGTGACCGTAAACATTCCAAGCGATCCAAACGCAGCCAATTAACGGGAGAAGGGCTGGACGCTGCGAGCTCTCAAGCTAGATAGGTTCGCGAGAGGCCCAAACCCCGGGGGTCGCGAAATAAATCGCCGACGAAAATGAGCGATGGCCGCGGGGTTGTTGACCGGTTGGTCCGTCGCTGGTCAGCGTCTCGGCCGCCGGACCGAGCACGCCGAGCCGACAGCCGCCTCTGGGCTGCGGCTTGTGGTTGACTTCTTGCTGACATGAACGCGACAGAGAAATAAGACATAGCGAGAGAATAATGTGGATTGCTACCGGTTGTAAACACCGTGAACAACAAAAAAAAACACCACCTACCCAGAAATTCTCTAGGAAGTAAGGCGTTATCATCTTGCTCTATTCCTGCTTTCCGCAACAGCCGAATTGGTTGTAATGCAACTTTTAGGACGTAAATCATCCACGTTCTCCCCCCGTTTCAGTTCAGTCTGCCTTTCCCCGTTTTCCTCCTTTCTCCCCTTTCTTCTCTCTCCCTACCTAAAGACTCCACCTCCACTCGGCTGTACTGCGCCTTTCCCCTTTGGTTTGTTCTCCAACAGAGACGAAGAAACAGCGCTACCAACGGCCGGTAAAGGCGCCGAAGTCACGGCCTGCCGTTAAAGCTCACTGCAATGCTGCCTTCAGGTACTCTGCGTAAATGTCAGAACATTGACAGTTCTGCTGCCCAGAAACATAATGCAAGACAAGATCTGCTTAATAAGACTAAAACTCGAATTATTGTACACAATCAGGGTTTTATGTTTGGTTGTTTTTTTATTTAGGCATGTTAGGCTAAAGTAAGCCATTAGACTCTGAAGCCTAAACTAACCCTGTCATACTTAAGTAACAAATCATTGTTGTGTCTCAAATGATATTTTAAGATTGTAAAAAGCAGCTTTTTGCATAGGCATACTTTTCTTTTTATTTATAGTCGGTCCTTAAAATAAAATAGATTATTTGAAATGGATTTCTTTAGGAAAAGGCTAAAAAAATCTAAAAAGACCAGAGGATTGCTTCGTGACAGTCAGTAGAACCATTTATGTTTTAATCAGAAATGGTCTCTGTTCAGGGGTGGTGTCAAAAAAGCTGTGCTTAAGGCTGAGGTAGACAACAAAACATTAGGCAACCGACTCCAAAGGATGAGCTTTGGGGTGCTGGAGATAGTTCTAAGAGGAAGATTGATCGTGTATTCCTCTTGACTGCAGCATAACACTTACCAAAAATCTGTTTTGCAACACTGTTGGAAATTGTTTTAAGTTCATTTTCTGGGAAGCCACAATGTATAAAGTGCACGTTGAAAGGATCTGACAGTTTTGCAAATGACTTATAGCTAACCAGAATCTACTGTTCTCAGTTTTATTGAATAGTAAACTTTAATGGTTACATGCTATGCTTCATTATTGGGTTGTTAACCTAAATTTGGATGAATATAAAAAAAGTATAAATGTATCACACAGCATTCAAATTTGTATGTTTAGGGTTAGTTAGGTTAATTCAAGCCAGGATAAACATATTTGTTGAGTAAATATGTCATAAAAATCAAACTGTGAGGGGAAAGTATAATTTCAGTCTTGATTGTAAATAAAATATTATTTAAGCACACTCCTAAATTCCAGATAGAAAAAGCAAAAGTCTGTAATAATGTAAACAATTTATTGGAACAATGTACAGATTCAAGCAATGGAAACCAGTCACACTCACTATATAATCTTACAAATATTACAAAATTACTACAGTACAATATAGAGTCTTTGCATGATCCAAAATATTTGGTGGCCCCAAAATTATTACTTTTTTAAAATTCAGCAGCTTATTAAAAAAAAACAAAATAACAAAATCTATCAAAATGATGTTTTCGCTTTTAATAGCAAAAAGATGAAGGCAGAAATTCTAATCAAGTTTAAAGGCTAATTGAATTACAGAATACAGGAGCTCCTTGACCAGACATTCCTTAGGATTGGTGGGTGCTTTAGAAAATACACATTTTAAATAAACCATTATAGAAATTCAAACCTGTGTTTGCAAACATTGTGTTATGAACGTCCTAACTCGTTTCTCTGCTGCTTAATTATTTGTTACTGATTTGTTTCAATACAGTACTACCTTAAATCTATTCCAAAACACCAAAAGTTTTTTTCATTCATGACACTGTGCAGAGATTAGACCATATGCTGAAGTTTGACAATCACTTTGGACAAAAAGAAATTAAGTATGTCAAAGTAACCATTTCTGAGTTGCTCTTCCATCTTTGTAGTCACAGCCTGACATCTGACTGCGTCACAAATGACGACATTTTTCTTAATGAACACCTACAGTTATCCATCTTACATGGAGGGCAAGCTTTCTTCCAGTCTCTGTTACTGAGGAAATGCATAAAGGCATACACATTGGGGGGGATATAATGACAACAAACAACACCGGAACTGAAACAACCTGAGGTTAACATTCGGAAAAAACACATCTTCAAGTGGTGAAACACAACTATGATGTATAGCAGCGGTCAAGTCAGAGTGACAGCACGGTAATAATGGGAATTACTTTGCGTGTTTGTTAGACCTGCAGCCCTACAATGACAGAGCAGCGGGACCGTGAACACAACCTATTGAGCTGTGAATTCTACATTTGTTTTTTGCATGCCAGCTGGAATGTGACAGACAAAAATCACTTCAAAACACAAAAATGATGGGATACAAACAGTTATTTGCCTCTGTATTCCATGATGCATTACATCCTGTATTTTTCCTCATTGAAATTTTAAACCTAAGAGACCACTTAGGCATTTCATATTGTGCCAATCTAATACATTAAACTACCTCTACTGTCCACTAAAGACCTAATTGCACCAATATGCTTATTGCATTAGGTAAATACATTTTAGCAGCAATTATTCATATGTGTGAGGGATTTTGGCTACATCATTCATTCAAGCACTTTCTATGTAAATTTAGGTGCATATCGTGTGCTACAAAGAGCTAAAATACTGCAGTTATTACTCTGGCCGGCAGAGGGTAAATGACTGGCAGGGCATAAAAAACAATAAAAACAAAACTTAACTCTCATTCCAACCCATCATGGAATACATTCTGGCTGCAAATTAAACATTTAGACACTTTTATAAAATACAAACAGCGCAAAACAAGCAGACACATTAACATTCTTATGTTCACAGTATTTTAAAAAACTACTTCCAGCTATGGGGAAAAAGTTCAGGGAGAGCACTCCAATAAGGTTCACGTGAAGCTTTTTAAGTCCCAGTGTTGCGATGCAGACGTGTTTACTATGATTCCTTAAAACTTTTTAATTGAAGCTCCCCCTACTTCTGACAATCCCGCTCCCATTAAAAGCTGGGTTGTGAGGGGCCACCAACATGCAAGAGATGAAAGCATCCAAGTACCCCACAGTGAAAACCACCCAAAACATTACACAGTCATCCTCAAGATCATGCTTTTAGCACAGGAAGCCAAACAACCAGTAACAAAACGCCAGCACATTGAGAAATGAACATATTTAACATTGATTTGAAATAAATATATTTAACATTGATCCAATGGTTCATGTCTTTCCGACTGCAAAAGCCACAAAATTTACTGAGACAGGTTTCGTGTCATTGTGTTAAGTAAAAAAAACAAAAAAAACAGAAAACAAAAAAAACAATATCATAACAACTCTGGATGCTAAACTGCATGCTGTCCTTAATTTTTCCATCACAAGACTTGGACAACATTGTAGTGGGGAAAAACTTTAAAAAAACAGACTACGCAGCTAAAGTTTGATATGATGAATGTCCATGTCACATTCACACCACAAAACCAAACGGATTCACTCCAACGTGACATCACAGACAAGATTTCACACACCTAAATTCAGGGTGTAAACCTCGTCATGCTACGTTACAGCGGGCTGCTGTAAATCTCTTATAGAGGAAGCAAAAATGACCGGAAATACCAATTAAAAGGTCAAATAAGAAACTTATCAAATGGCAATGACAGCTGTCAACACACAAATCACTAATGCTCAACAGCTTTCCAGAATAATATACGCATGCTACCTATTCCCAGAGAAGCTGTTCCTAAAGTTGTGCTCATTGGTGACATAATTAACAGCCTCTGTCCTGCTCACATGAGGGAGCTCTGAATGAATGGCAGATTTTTGGTGATATGCTCTATGAATAGTATTTTCCACGACAGGATCCGGGAAAATGCATATTTAACAAAACTGATATCCTTTTGCTTTAAGCTCTAATATTTCTAGAAAAATCCTCAACTTGACAACTAGGATTCATCTTATTCAGGACAGTCTTCTTTAGAATGCACACCTGCCCGAAATAACATTTTCCGCAACGGCTTTCTGCCTAATCAAAGAGCAAAATGCTTTATGTGATTTTGCGACGACTTTGCTTGCATCCATTTTTCTTCGTCCAGAAAGACATTTGTAGAACAAATTAAAGCAAGAAATAAAAAGGGTGATCATTTTCATTATTTGAGATTGAGATGTAGTTACTTGAAATATTCTCCCATGAGTTGTTCTGCCTGTCTCATCCTCCCATAACTTGTTTATAGGGGCATTGAGAACTGCAGCTATACCTCCCTCCCACCCCGTCCACCAGGTCGGGGAGGGGTCTTTACCCCTTCCCCTTCCATAAACAGGCAGACCCTTCCCCCCAGTAAAGGGTAACATGTTCCCTGGGATGGTTCCCCGTACTGTCCCATAGCGAATTACCTGTGGAGAGAAAGGGGGGCCTCATTAGACAAGCACATCAATTCTAAGACAACATAACTTTTGAAACTTAGATGAGCGTGATAATTTCTGCAATAGCAAATGATAAGATCAGACTGACCCCAGTGATGAGGCACAGGGCTGCAGAAACAGTTACACTCCATAAAAGGTTGCTAGCCGTTCCTTTAACGGCATTGGGAACTGGTCTGAGAAGCGCCTCCAGTTCTCTTCTCCCACCTGGTTCTTGAATCCATGAAGGATCTGAAATTAAACAGCCGGAAATGTTTACGCAGAGTTTAAAACAGAGCAGTGCCTTTTAAATAGATCTTGTGCAGGGCAGAATTATTATTATTATCAGAGCACCCCTGGTAGAAGCCGCCGTTGCTGTGTTTGGGGGTAGGTGAAATAACTCATTTCATGCTTTGCCAATAAAAGCAAAAAGTTTCATCATCTGCCCAGTCATTCACTTCATGCACTTTTGACTTTTACCTTGTAGAACATGTCTCTGAGATCATCTTTTGGATTTACCCAGGAGGCGACTGCATCGCAGAAGAATATAAAGTCCTGTTCCAGAAAAAAGAGGTGAGGAAACGGTCGACTTGAAGAGTTTCCCACAACGTAATGACCACAGCCGGGCCTCACCTGCACCACGCCTCCGGGATTTACACTGATCATGGTGCAAATTCCTCTGAATGCAGAGTCTTTCTCCTCATTGTCCCTTATATTTCGTAGAGAGGTGCACCTGACAACAGGGATGGCCAAATTCAACATCAAACTCACTGTCAAAGTCGTTTAAATTTACAAATCTACCAGCAACCTTCATAACCAATGCAAAAAAATGCTAAAATAGAGATACTGATATATGAATCAAGACAAACCTAGAGCCTGCATTGATACAAATGTATTTTCTTAATCTTAATTCAATTAAATTAAAACTTGTCTATCTTAATTTAAGATTACCACAATACATTATGCATGCAAAAAAAAAAGGATTAACGTAAAACAAATCTAACATTTTGGCATTTAAGACAGCTTTTGTGATCTGTAATATCTTCACTTTTGTCTGCGAGCAGTGTGTTCAGCAAAACCTCATACATAGCACCTTGAACATAACATTACTTTTTGAAAGATCGACTAGAGAAGGTCAGAGTAATTTTGGGACAGGCACATGCAGCTGGGTGACTACGAAATGAGAAAGGGATTTAGGAATGCTCTTTAGCATTAAAGACTGCATCCTTTCTCTGTTGTTGAACCAGCAGGCATGTGACAGATCTGATCCCATGCATCTTATAGGCTGTTAGCGACAGTTAACAATGACAAAAAAACTAGAAATTAAACAAATTAACGTATAATACATGAAGGTGCTACTGAGGCAAAAAACAAATCACAAGTAGGACCTAAAAGAGGACAGGGTTAGTCACACGGTTGGCAATGATTACAAACTGATAAGAAAAAACTGAAAAAGACTTTTTTCGAGAGGGAGAGTGAGCAGAAGGAGGAGAGCAACAGGGGAGAAGAGGGAGGGACAGGCGACAGACTAGAGAAGGAGAGCAGAGAGAAGATGAATTAAATAAAAGATTGAATAATACACACCAGGGTCTTATAAACTGCTGTAGCATGGGTGCCACCTCTTGAGGACAAACGTAACCAAGACGACCAATTGTTATTGCTAAGGTAACGCAATCACGGTTACACACCACCAAACGCCAACCAAGACATGAGCAATGAGGAGGGGAGGAGAAAAATAAAGAAAAAACAAACAACTCAGAGACATAAATCAACAGAATCTGTGTATGATAATAAACAGAAGATTTCACTAGCGCTGATTATTACTGCCCCTTCAGTCGAGGGGAGGAATGTAAAATATGACATTCTAAAAAAATACATACAAAACGTTTAAGGGAGAACACATTGACAAGTTTGACAAGACATTCATAGAAAAGGTCAACAATGGTTTCAGCTCTTCACATCTAGTGTCGGCTAACTGAAATTGGTGAGTTTGATTTGAAATGGACGTCTCCTGACACAAGCTAGCAAAAGGTGCAGCATGTGCTAGTGACCGGCCTAAATGAGATTTCTCCCTTAAACTCACAAATGTTAATTTTCATAAGAAACAGAATGTTTTTGTTTGCTTTTTTAAAAGGAATGACAGATTACTCCAAGCCAACTACATGGAGGGAGACTAGTATCCAGCACAGCAGGTTCTTATGAGGCAGAGAGGAGGGAGGACCTAAGTTTAAGAGACACAAAACTATGCAACATTCTCATTAACAAACAGGCATTTATGAACAGTCCAATGACACATGCAGAAAGCAGATGGTATGCTCATTAGAGTAAAGTTCAGTGCAGGATCAGCTGATCAGAGACTAACCAAAGGAGTCAGTCAACAGACATCATAAATTGACTACCAAGCCCACCATTCAGTGCGGTACAACGAGACTGTTTTCAAATTTAGTTGAATTATATCTTTAAAAATTAGACTTTTTTTTCTCATCTTTGACTCACTGTGATGTTTTCAGTTCATACACTGAAAACATGCATCAGAGAAGTAGAAAGGTTCAGTCCATAAGCACTTAAATCACCATGTATCCTGCATCAAACATTGGCCATTCTTAACAACATTTAACATCTATTGGCAGATATGCATTCACATTTAAAGAACAGTAAATAAAAGCAACACATATACTGACAGCAAACAAACAGGAACACGTCTACAAAGTCCCTAACTTGTCTTTCATTTAGCAAGTCACACTTCACCCTTGCATGCATGTTTCTGATAAGATAGTCGTTATGACTCACTAAATTAAAACTACCATTCAAATAGTGAAAGTAAAGCAGAGTGTAACCACTAAGGGAATTTTCTGTGCCATATTTTTTGCAAAATTAGGCATTAGGTATCTAAATCAGTTTGGTTAGTTATTGTTTAACTTGATATACATGTCAAAAGTAACTATGTGTGCCTTTGAGGTAACCTCCCCATTTCAAACATAAGCCAAGCTTAGGATTTTCATTTTTTTAAAATACCTCCCCTGTCACTCAGATTAGTGAACTCCAAGACTGGGCTCTTACATGGTTTCATTCATTTTAAAAGATTCTTTATCTGGGCTTGTCAGGGGTTCATTGTCTTTCATCTCAAGTCACTGGCCTTTGTGCCAGGTTGCAAATCAATACCTGAAATATGTGGAGAAACTTCAGAGAAACTAGCAAAACCTGTAAGGCTCATTCTTTAGGGAGTGGTGTTTGGACAGGTATTAAAGGGCAGGACAGGCATCTTGGTGAGTGAGGTCAGTACTGGCTGAATTTGACCTGAGTGTGTGAGCACTTCCCTGTGTGTGTGGTAACCTGGCTGGCTGGCTAAGCACTACCACCGTGTGGTACCTGTGTTTTCCAGTAGAGTCTTTGGGGTATTGGGCCTGTTAATGATCTCCACCAGCTGGTGCAGCACCATGGCAATGTATGGCTGCATTTCAGGCCCTGTGCATGCAGCGGGAACAGGAAAATATGGTCAGTGGAAACAACAGGTATACAGGATCTGTGTAAATCAGATAAATAAATGCTCACCCATTTGTATAGATAACTCCCCTATTGCCCATGTTGCATTGTTGCACACTGATATTAACTCTGGGTTTAAATTGGTGCCCAGTATGGGCATAAAATCAGCTGAAAGAAAAGATTGCACAACTTTAGTGACTGACTAACAGCTATTTGCTCAAGAGTTCCCCAGAGTTAAGCACGCGCAACATACCGATGCATGGTTTGACATGTTGGAAACAGGCCTTGGTGAGATCCCCAAGCAGAGCAAAAGAACTCTGACGGACCTCCGGCATTTTGTCCTGAGCAGATGGAGAGAACAGCGTACTGTGAGCAAAAGGAATCGGTTTCATGGCTTATCTCAGAACACAGCACTTCGACAGCTTTATACCTGCATGCACTGGTACATGAGAGTGAGGATGTTGCTACGAGCAACCAGCTGCTCAATGGTGCCTCCTAAACCCTCAGCCAGTCCACTGAGAAGATCCAAAGCCACGATCATGAAGTCTTTATCGGGGGCTTCATATTGGTCTGGTTGTGACTGGTGAAGCTAGAGATTAAGCCAAAGTCAAATAAAAATAGCGGGTGAGTTTATGATCAGTTGAACAAAAATAAAAGTGTGACAGTAATTATCTATCTTGAAACATTTGTAATCAAATATAACATTTTCACAGTAGGGATTGTGTCCTTTAGAGAAGCATGTCTGCATCAATTCAGTTTTCAACCACTGGAGGTCAGTGCAGCAGTCTGTAAACAAAGCCAACTCTATTTCCTTAAGAGGAAAGAGGCTTCAGTTGTGAGAATCCACTGTCCTCTTGTATGGATTTTTCAATATGTCTCCTTTTTTTCTAATAATTTGAAATCCAATCAAAATATCCAATCAAAACACATTCAGTATTTACATATCATTTGTGGTGCAGAATGTCCAACGTCACCCTTTAAAATGATATTTTCTTCACAGCTATAGCTCAGTCAAGTAAGTCATAAATGTGTGCATGTGAACCTAAACACTCACCATGGCCTGAGCGAGAGTCTTCTGGACAAGGTTGACACAGCGTTGGTACACAGGCTCACAATAGGGCAGGAAGCCACTCTGCAGGGCTGTGGCCACAGAGGATAGACACTGAGAAAGTGAGCAGGGGAGCATATTGTCAGTGGGCAGTCCAAACTATGGTACTGAGATCATATTCTATTTGAAAGCATTGATATGATGGACTGAGAGTATAATCCTGGCAATCACTGTGTCCAGGAAACGCACTTCTAATAGCGGGAAGAGATCTTTGTCTTCATCCTTAAGCTGGTTCCATTTCTGGATCAATGGTGGCATCAACATCTGGATGTACTCCTATTAAATAAAATGGATTGAATAGGTGACTATGGATTACAATTATCAAAGTTTCCTTCTCCAGTACAATCAAACAAATACAACAAAGGTGCTTTTTACCTTCAGGTAGGCTGTCTAACATCACAACATCTGAAAGAGCACTTACCACTACTAGTGTAACAAAATCAAATGAGGAAGCAGGGGTACAGCAAGCACAGTTACACAGAGCTGAGGATTGAGACTGCTCGTAAGGCTGTTCTGCATACCGGTTTATTGAGATGGTGTCCCACTGAATCTGCAAGCGTTCCTATTGCGTCATAAAGTATGAGCAGGTTTTTATGCTGGTACTTGCTGAAAGCGAAAACCAGCGTGTCCAGGATGAATGCCAGGTAGGGCACGAGCTCTGTGCAAGCCTCCTCTTCCAAAGTGGCAAAGGCACTGGTTAGGAGAGAGAGTTAGAAAAAGAAAACATGTGAATATAAACAACTCAGAGGGGCCAAGCCGTAAACTTGCATGCATTTATCTGGATTTCTTTTTCACCTGCAAGCGGCCTCCTGCACGCGCTTGTTGCTGTCCAGAATGCGTTTGAGCAGCTCCGTCATTAAAGGCTTCAGGTAAATATCTGGGGGCTGGCTGACCACCCAGTGTGCGTAACGGCTCAGTGTCCAGCAGGTGATGGAGCGCACAAGGGCCTTTTTGTCAGACAAACACTGGACGAGGTGTGGGATGAGCTCTGGCAGGTATGGGATCATGCCTTGCATACACCCTAAAGAAAGGAAAATCAGAGTACATTTTTGAGCAGGCTATTCTTTCGATTTTTCCAACCCTTTCCTCCCCCTCTTACCTTCGGCTATAGCCCCCAGGACAAGGATGCCAGACTCTTTAACGACCCACTCAGGATGGAAAAGCAGCTCTTTGAGAAGGGGAAGGATGTGTAGCAGCAGATCATCCCTAAACACGTTGGCCAACACATCCAATGCTGCAGCAGAGCACTTTCCTGAATAACATTTGGAAAAACATAAGAACACATATAGAAACACCAGTGTGTGTGGAAAAAATATAGAAAGTGCACACAAATAAAAGAAAAGCAATTTGCACATTGTTTCTCAGCTCTCAGCATTTGCAGGCGAAGATAAAAAGGTCAGTTTATAGATAGAGACTTGGGCACGGCTCTATTTAAATGAGCGCCAAACTCACGCAGGTTCCAGTCAGAGATAGTGTCGTCATCATCCAGCTCATCATCGTCGTCCTCTTCATCCTCAATCCCATCCTCTTCGTGCTGCTGGGCCACGGTGCGGGAGCGGTGGAAGCGTGGTCTGATGTCTTGCTCGTTGTCTGGAATGGCCTCATCCTCTTCAATGTCCCCCTGAGGTCAAGCATACGTGGAAATCACATTCTGGTGAAACTGGTGGCTAAACGGGGGCTGGGATTTGTGTTAAAAGTGTACGTTGTTCACTTCAGCATGACTTAGTTATCCACAGATGTTTATCCAAGACAACACAACCTCGATACACTGGGACAGCTCGGATGACTTAATGCGACTGCATGCCATCTTGAGTCATGGAGCAATTCATCAGTGTACCTCCAGGTACGCGTAGCAGTCTATAAACTGACCTTGAGGAGGATGATGTCAATCTCAGAGTACTTCATCCCGTTGACAAGAACCGGAGTGAGCCTAGAGCAGAATTCAGAAGGAAATTATGTGAAAAAAAGGGCAAGGATGGGTCACAGCTCCCAGACAATTACTCATATCCGATTTCTACTTGGGCGGGTTTTACATGGCAGAGTGATGACAGATGTTGCAGCTGAGGTCAACAGACTGTGGGCATTCTTAATCAGAGGAAGAATATCATTCCCTTACAAGGCCCTCACTAACTCACTGCCAAGGATGCTATGAATCAAATGCTCTTAACATCACTAGACTAGAGTGTTTGTGCTTCATGTGAACTTGTTTGTGAGTTCTTACTGGGCGAGGTGACCACACAGCACTTCCTTACACACTGGCTGCTCCGCCAGCGTGAGCCAGAACTCGCAGGCCTCAAGAGCAACGTTCTCGTCGTGGTCCTGGGTCCTCTGAAGCATGTACTGCAAATTACAAAAAACAAAAAAGAGAAACAAGATTTAAGTATGCATATTTATTTATGATTTATACAATACTCACCATGAATGTATGGAAACAATATAACTATCAACATTAAAGAAACAACCCAAATCAAAGTACAATAAAGTGGGAATAAGACAAACTATTTCTGCCTCAGCCGGTAGGCCCCACGCACTCACCTCGATGATGTTGTGCATGTGTGGCAGCAGACGGTCCAGACGAACCTCCAGCAGCATGACAAGAGCTCTGCAAACATTCTTCCTCACCTCCGGCTCCTCGTCTGTTGCCAGTGCAAACAGGTTCTATTGAAGACAGAATCCATCACTTGTCAAAGCATTGACATTTGTAATGTCAATGCGATGGGACGGTGAAGCAAGATACTACAGAGAACACAAACACACTGATACAGATTTAGCTTCCATGCTGTGTTTCGCCTTTCATCTGAGAGCCCAATGTTGCATGATGGGACATCTTAACTCAGACTCTTTGGCTCTTTTTCTCTTGAGCATTCTGCTGCTCTGTCGTTTCGTCTCCTCATGTTTCAGTACTATAAACACTTAAGAGCTAATAGCCACTTCTTCAACATCCAACTGATGGGAAATAAAGTAGGGGGGAACAGACAGTCATGGTCTCTACACCCTGTGCTGTAGGCCTAAAGATGCATTCGATTCAGACTTGCCTCAATAAAAGGGTCGATGTGAAGCATAAGAGCCTGAGTCCTGCTGATGATGAACTGATTGACGCAGGCGATGGCATGAGACCTGCAACACAACAGCCACCAGTCAGTAGTTGTTCCTCCAATGGTGCAAGTTCAGAATGCAGCCCCTTTGTTTGATGCTAATCCAACCAAATGTGAAGATTTATTATGTTTTTGCAAATGGAGTGTTTCAGGGTCATTCATCTGTTTGATTACATACATTATAAATTGAGAACATTTGTAAAAACTGAATGCCCTATAACGCATCCTCTAAAAGTGCATATAAATGACAGTTAGCTTTGACTAAGTCGAGTCATTAACACAATTAAATATGCAATATGACTCATACCTGATCTTAGGACTGTTGTGTTTAAAAAACTGCAAGAATTTGGGAATCATGATGTTGAGAGGACGGTCCAGCATGTCACTGTCCAGAATCTCTGCAGAGTCCTCACAGATCTTCTGCAGAGCTCCGAATGCTCCCTGCGGACACGGAAAAGGCATGAGGATCGACAACAGTAAGCACCAGAGATTTCCCCCGCCTTGACACAGTGCAGGATTTATTAACTCTGCAAGTAATGTGAAGATACACAGCTTGAGCCAAAAAACACTGAGAGGTAGCAGACATTTTTGATAATAATCTTTATGCAGATTAGACTGCAGCTACAGTTCTTGGAGGTGGAGGGGATTTAGATTTTTTTTATTTATCTTTGCATAATGGTGTATACGTGAGCGGTATATCAGACATAACAGGTACAGTTAAATGTCATCAGTTTGCTCATCAATGCACAAAAGGATTCACCCACTTCTGCTCTCATAACCTTCAAACTGTCAGATAGCAGTCATACATATAATCACATACACAAAAACACAGTCGGGAATCTTCTTAATATTAGCAGCTAGACAGATAGTTAGTATGCAAGCTCACGACATGCTGCAGACTTCAGTGTCTCTCACAAAAATGTAGGCTGGAAAGCAGATGCAAGTAGCAGCACAGAGACAGACAGAGTCTAAAATGTGTTTCCATGGAAACCGCTTCCATGTCAGCATTCCATTTACGTGATAGATACAGAGCAGTCTGCAAAAAATGTGGGGGATGAAGTGAGACGAAGAGGGTAAAAGAGCCAAGGTCACACACAGTGTAGAGAGAAAGATGATCGAATGATTGAGCTATCAAAGAATTTTTTAATCAGATGAAAAGAAAAAGGGAAAAAAAAAGGGCCAAAAAAATGCAATGGAATTTTAAAAACGAGTATGTGAAAATCTCCTTTTTTTTTCTAGCTTGGATTTGGTTTTAGACGTGATATAGCTAAAACACATACGACAAGACATGGTTCAGTCACACAAAGAACAGCAGCCTCAGCTCCATCTGTGAGATGTTTGGACACAAATGCTGAAATATTACTCCACTGTAATTCATTCGAAGGGGTGCTGAGCAAGATACAAAGAAAGCCCCCCCGTGATGTCAAAACACAATACAGACATTTGAGCACCAGTGTGTCAGCAGAGAAAGGCAAAGAAATGGGGAGTGTCCTCGATGTAATCCTCCTTTCAACTCCTGCCATTGAAGGTCATTCAACGTGGGAATGTAAATCACGCACACGGCAGCACGCCAGCGGCATTTAGTCAATTAAAAAACACTGGACATTTGAAAAAGACTAACAGCATAAATATGCTCTGAGGTACCAAAAATAAGACGAAGTGCTGATTTCCCCTCTAAGGAGGAATCAAACTGACAACACTGCTGCAACCATTTGCCAGCTGCCATTAATCAAAACAGTAAAACTGTTCATGCTAAACCTATTTAAAGACATCCACCACCATTAGACTGGTGGGCATCCAAAACACCTGCTTGTTTCTTTTTATAGAGGCAGAGGAGGGTGAAATGCAGTAAGAGGAGGGGGATCTTCCACCAAATACAGATCCTGAACCATAAACAAAAGCGACCTGGTAAGGATTTACCTCTTAATGTTACAGAGGACACACGGTTCCTTCGCTTCACTGTATCATTTGGATACATATCAATTCATTACTCGACGCAACAATTTCAGGACACATTTAGACTTTAACGGAAAGGGCAAGACAAACAAAGAGCGGTGGATCTTATGTATAGAACAGCATAAATGCGCCACACATACAACATGTTTATCGACCACGTGGTTGAAGGGACAGCGTGCATTTCTCTTTGCTTAAATTACAAAGCGCATACAGTTCAGAAACTGTACACTCCCTGTCACCAATATATTCCCAACATAGACATCAAAGTGCCGGGGACAGTTTGGATTATTTAAGGGAGTCATTAAGAGTCAGCAAAAAGGGAGTTGGCACAAACCAGAGCCGGGGTATGCTGCAGAACCAAATAGTGACATCCATCTCTCCAAGAGGGAGCAGAGCACATCCTCTGCCAATTACAACTAAAACAAATACATCCTCAAACTTTGATGGGTTTTTCTTTAAGATTTTCTTTACACCTCTTCAACAATTTTTAAGAAATTTGGCTTGTTTGTCTGCAGCTTTTTGATAAACAGCGACAATCAGAAGGTCTTCCCCTCGACAGGCCGAAGTGGTGATACTGCTGAGCAATTAAAAACAAAAATGAGATTTGTAAAGTCTATATTGATTAATTATCAACAAGCTAAGGAAACGTTTTACTCTACAGCACCAATTAAACCATCTTCAGCACCAGCATTAAGAAGCTTTCCACCCTACAAGCTGCTTTTCTTAAACATAGCAGCTCCACCAGGGAGTTTTTACATTTATTCGCTGTTCAGTCTTAAGCCTCACACACACACACACACACACACACACACACTACAACGTCCTACAGTAAATAGCTGACCTAAATCTCAGCTTCTGATTGAGCTTTATAAGAGAGGCTTGCAGTGGTGTCACAAGGGGATACACATTTCTCTGTCACATTGTTTTCTTTCATTTCAGAAAACGCCTGTCCCCAAAAGTCATGCGGACATTCCGGCTGCGAGCGGCGATGAGTAATCCTGCCAAGACACATTTATATCGCCTCTTGTTTCAGCTAAATTTACCGTGACGGTTCAACATGCTACCTAGATTAAAAGCAATCTCTAATGTAATATATCCGCATCCCTTTAGTGGCAGATGCCACCTACAAATGCAGCTGACAGGACATTAATGAGCACAGAGTCTGCAGGCCTGGCACCGCTGAGGCGGCATTAAGCAAATCTGATGACCTGACGGCCACAACCAACTACTTTGTTATGAATTATGCAGGTATGACAATTAAACTTTTAACCAGCGTTTCAATGCAGGAGTGCCAATTAAATCTAAGATAATATCATTGAAAGCTTTGTACACGACACAATCAAGAAATTATCAGTGCTATGCTGTGGAGCTAACCAAGGGTGTAAATATATTCTCTTAAAAAAGTGCATAATGATGGATTATAGGTTTAAAAACAGACATGAAGGGTATGACAAAACAACAGCATGCTCCTTTTGAGCGTATGCACAGTTTAAAATCCATTCAGGGTGATTATGTGCAGCATGCCAGAAAAATGGGGTCATATGGTTTACTGGTGAGGACAAAAAGAACGATGATTCCATGTCGAACAATCTGTAGTAGGTGCTGCTCCAGCTGTGAGATTGCCTTTCGCTTATCTCACCAGCAGAATGCCATCCAGATGCTGCTCTGTAGATGACCCAGCTCTTCCTTTTGTACAAGAAATGAATATAAAGGCAAACAGACATGCTACTGTGAGCCAAGAGGGAGCATAGTGCCCACTGAAGAAATTTAGCATGTTTAATTTCTGTTGCCTCTGTTCTTTCTCAAATTCCAATGGCAAAACATTCAAATATAGCAGCTACAAGCATAGCCTGCAGGGGCTGCAGCCCGAGACAAATGTGCAGGCCGCTGCGCCTGAATTTGCTGTCCTCACCTCACATGTGTTGTAGTCCTCAGAATCCAGCAGTACGCAGAGTTTGGGCAGAAGCTCGGGCCAGTTTTGTAGCTCCCCCTTTGAAGCAATTGTGGTGATGAGGATACCTGTTTTTGGAAAAATGTATTGTCAGCTACGCTTGTGTGACCACTTAATCTGCAAAAATGGCAACTATTTGGCAATTAAAGCAGGGACAAGAATGCATCTGAAAAAAATGAGGAGAAAGGAGCCATGAGAAACATCCTTCCTGCCGCTCCCACTCAATAAATATGAGGTGTTCTATTTGCCCATCACCAACTGAAAAGCTACATCAGTTTGAACTCCAATAGCTTTCAATAGCTCCTGTTAAGCTTGAATACATTTGTAGGTGCTAGTTTTGTATGCTTTTATAAATTGAAATTTGCAATAAAAGAAAGTTAAATGATTAGCACCTTAATTGCATTTAAAAGGTAAAAAGATGACCGCTTGGTCTGTCATTGAACAGGATGAAAATAAATAAGTGGAAATGCTATGATGAAAACATGTATAAAAAGCAAAAAAAGTACTTTTTTGTACTATACTACTATTTTTTGTAAGGGGTGTTTTGGCTATAAATATCTGATTTTCCCAACATGAACAAAAGTAATCAATTATTTACAATTTCATTCGACTCAAGTTGGAAAAAACTCTGAAAACAGATCAATAAATATCTGTTAAGTCAACATATTATTTTTTTCTAATAATTTTGATATCTTATTATCATAAAAAGGGCAGACACTCTTAAAACACGTAAAAATCATTTAATATTTTCCATATTTTCAATCAGCTGTTCTTGGGGAAAACATATCATGCTTTGTCCACATTTACTGTAACTACAAATACTTTTTCAGATCTCCAAAAATGTAAGCAAAGCTTATAGTTAAAGATACAAGTATACTCATGTAAACATAACTCCCTGGAAAACATGGCAGCCAGGAAACTTAACAGGCATGAACATCAAAAGCAACCCTTTTGAAAACCGTTCTATATTCAGCAGAGCCATAGACACACTTACCCACGGTGGCCCGAATGAGGGGGGAAGAGTCTCCGATGTTCTGGAGGCACTCATTCTTGATGAAATCAGATACGCCATTTGGGAAGTTCTGATAGTGAGCTTTCACATTGTTCTTCAGTATCAGTCCGCTCAAAGAACGCGTCGGTTCGTCTGCAAAAGAGATGAGAAAAAGAACAATGAAGGCAGGTAAAAACGAAGACGAAAGTCGCTGTGATCTGGTGTCCAAGTCATTAACTGTTGGCAGGATCTTGTTGTTGTACCCTGGCTGGATTTTAGCGTCTAAGCCATTTGTAGTGGTGCAGCAGCATCCGAAAATGTCTTAACACCATCAAACATTTGGGTCATGTACTGTGCAGACAGTCAAGCCAAAAGTTGTGCCTATGCCAGGAATCGGGTTTAAAATTAGAGTGACCCATATTCTGAGTGCCACATCATTTGTAGCAAAGATGCCATCAGGTCACCCGAGTCATGGCCAAGCTGTCATGTCAGTGAGCATACCAGTTACATCAAAAGGACACGATGAAACACCAACCAGGCACAAAGAAGCAGACAGACAAGCTACTTACCTTCTGATTTTAATTTCGTCAAAACGAATATCAAATAGTTGTTAAAGTCTGGATACTGGTTCAGCTGTTCAAGTCTCTGGGAGAAAATGGTTTAGGATAATGACACTGTACACTCAGCATTTTAAGTCATCGAGCACATTACAACTCTAATCTGTGGAATCCAAATGATGTCAAAGGGATTTTTTTTATCCACAGACAGGCAGAAAGAGCAGCCTCACTGTGTTGATATGGCGGTATAATGTAACAGCATCAAGACATTTAGAGGGGCGTGACGCATGTCATTTCAACTAGGTAAAAACTTTAAGCGTCCAGCCAGATGGCGTCTTCTAGGCAATAGGAGAGCAGCCCTTCTATAAGCAAATGATGCAGCACATATGAAGGATTACATAAGCAAGTCACTTAGGATCAGCGTGCAGCCACACAAAAACATTTGGGCCAGCAGCATAAAGCACATGATCATTTTTTCGCTAATGTGAAAGTAAGTGGTGATACAGGCTGAAGTGCTGGAGCTCGTTTGAATCAACAAACGCTGCACAGGCTGCGCGATTACAGAGATAATAAAGCATCTCATGTCACGTCAGCTGCATTTAGTAAACATCTTTAAAGCAGCTTTTATGCCCGTTCATGCCAAGTCATCTCTATTAACTTGCCCTTTCATCTGGTTGGGTGTTACTAGGCTAGAATGTCAAGCATGTTTAATTGGTATGATATGAATGTTGACGATTTGTGGCACTCATTTGAAAACTGAGATGGAAAGCTCAAATTACAGCAGCAGCACAGAAACTTAATTTCTCCTTTACTCTATCTTCCTCTATCTACAAAATAGATCATATTGATCTAATGTGAATTATAAAAAAACAATATTTAGCCCATTATTGTCATGCCACCATGGTATAAACATTTAAGTATTAGAGTGGGTCAATTCTTTGAAAACTGATGATACTATGGTAATTACTACATAATTAGAACTGCACTTAATTCAGATTCGTCACTAGGAGAATATGTCAGTGCAAAATTCCCAATGTCCCTCAGATGTGCAGCCTAAACTGAAAGGGATCTTATATTATCAGATTTAAGTTGCTGTTGATGAGCAGGAGTGACGTTAATAAATGTGTATCCAATTAAACATATTTGTCTGTCAGAGCTAAATTCAAATGTTCGTTTTTTTCTTCAATTAGGCAAAAGCCTCGTCAGGTTTCGGAACTAACACGTTTGCTTGAAGGCTGCTGAGGTTATCAGTGACAAAAGCACCAACCCAGGGTCACGGGCGTACCTGTTTGTAACGGTAACCACCCTGGCTAGTGTTAGCTACGGCTAGCCTGTTGAACCTCCGTGGTCATATTAAGCTCTACTACATAATAACAAAGGGTTATAATCCACGCGTGGCTCGTGAAAGGATACTTGCTGGACGGATCTCTGCGTGGACGTATCTGGTGACTGAGACTCTTTCAGCAGCTGTAATATCTGCTGGAGTCCCTGCTCGTCTGGCTTCCACTCACACTCCATCTTGCTGCCGCGGATAAAGAAATAACATAAGCTCAAACAGAGGTCTGCTCACCCGGCAGCACACAATAGCGTCCTCCCACAGAGGCAGAAGCAGAAAATACGGAACCGCTTTTACCTCTTCTGGCTTCGCCAACGATGTCGAGTGTAGTTGCCTTTCTGTTGAAATGTGACTGTCTGTCTGGGTTTTCAGACATGGGCCCGTCACGGCAGACACATCAGTTCTTCTCGCCAGACGAAAAAGCTCCAGGTCATAGAGCCTCGCGTTGATTATAAGCGCCGACTTCGTCAGCTGACAGGCAGCTGAGCGGTCCTAAGGTTCGTCAGCTCGCATTTCAGCACATACCTTCCCTTTTTCACATGCTTATATTGAACAAAGGCTACATATATAACACACATATTATACACCCATACGTCCAAAACCTTTCAGCATTGTTTTATATAAAGGACGTACTTTAAGAAAGACGATAAATGGTGAGTGGTTGAATTTCCGACCGTACCTGAAGGCATAACTGCTCCCCCTGAGGCAGTTATGTTGCTGCTGAGAAAATAGCGCCATCTTGAGGTTTTAGATCTCAGGCAAACATATACAGCGATGCAGGAATTCTATTAATAGCTCTAACACTGTGCAGTACAGTAAATTCTTAAAAGGCACACCGAAATACCACACACGTAACAGTAGGATGATGACAAAACACTTGTCAATCCTGTAATAAGGAAAATCCACCGCCACACAACCCTTCCTCCACCATCAACAAGTCGGGGGTATTTACTTGGACCTTCTCTCAATGCTTCCACTGTTCAGCCATCATCCACAAGCATTTTAATTAAATCTGTGAATCATATATGGCCGAAAAACAGAAGCACATCTCAAGGTGTAAATTAGGAGTCTCCAGACAAAGGCAGAGCGATGATCACAACATCAGGAAGTCCTGCAGCCACAACCATAAGCCTAACTCTGACCCTTCATTCTATCCATCCGTTATATATATCCCTAATTCCTAGTATCGACCGGGTGAGGCTGGAGCCTACCGCAGCTGATATTGGCTGAGAAGTGGTGTATACCCTGGACAGGTTTCCTGTCCATCGCAGTCACACAGAGACAAACAACCAGACATGCTCACATTCACTCATAGGGGCAATTTAGAGTGTTTAATCAACATAGCATACAAGGTGTCTTTGGTGTTCGGTTATCTCCCCAAAAAACAGAAAAGAGTATTTTGGCCATTTTTCCTGAAAAATACTCCATCCAACGTTAATGCTCCATGGCATGACAGGTCGTCTGCTGCCATTTTCAAGAAAAAAACTAAGTATTTATTCAATTTTTTCAGTTTGCAACTCTACCTCTGCTCAAATGTATTAGTGTGGCTGCAGTAATCCAACTCAACGAATAACGTCGCATTGAACTGAAATAAAGAATGTTGATCACTTATATCCACCAGGTGGCAGCACACAACAGAAATGTCTCTGCTCTGCTATGAAATCTCCGGTGAAGAAGGCTTTCAGTACGCTGCTGCCTCTCAGCGTACAGAGCAATAGTTAAACATCAGTGTATGAGGAAAGTAAGCCTGTCCTTCCCTCCAGTGTTATTTCTGTTACAGTTATATTTATTTGGAGTTTTTGCACTGGAACCTGTCAAATAAAGCCCAAGAAGAAAAGAGGACGCGCGAGACTTCAGAGTTTTTCTCTTTTGGTGTGTCTCCTGTTCGTTTGATAGAAAAATTCCAAGAGGAACATCTTCTGCGCCCCGAGGAAACATGAGCTTTCTTTTGTGAGTTGTAACTGTGTGTTGAAAGTATACTTTTTGCTTTGAAGTTAAGGTTCAAATGTTATGCTATAATTCCATTAGTGCTAAACAACTGTAGCTAGCTAGCGATAGCAATGGGCTTGGACTACTTCCTGGACTCATCCACGATTATTAAATGTAAATTGTACTAGTTCGTGTTGTTTTGTTTCTTATAAACACATTCAGGTCATTTTTAAATGAAACGGCGAGACAGCAACATCAAATAACCTGATAAAACGCTCTAATGCCATAAAGCGTTACATCGCGGGCCACTTGACAGGATGCATCGTTTGGCCTGGATATTTGCTGGTGTGAGCACTAAACAAGAGCTAATTATGCCGCTTTGAAACAAAACGCGCATATCAGAGTCTGATCATGTATTTTATCGAATTAACTCGACTTTGTACCGTCGATTTTTAGTCATCAGTTTCAGTTTGATGCATCATAATGACTCAGGTTGCACCTGAAACAATGAATTGCCCTGGGTGAAAATGTCAGCTTTTGTTCGTAAATGCAGGAAGAGAAGAAGGTCGAGACTCACCACGCAGTCTTCGACACATATCTTTGAAATATGTTTGTCACATTTATTAATATGTTATGTAATCTCTACCATCTTATTACCATTACAGCTAAAACACTCTACCTCAGTGTGGCACTACTTATTGGAAGAGTTCAGATACATTTGGTTTGCAAGTGCTTCATGCTGATATATATGAATATATATACAGTTTCCCTTTAGAATAATACATTTAAAAAATGTTGCTCTGGTGGAAAGTAACCATACTAAAGCAGTGCAACCTTCTTAAGTACACATTTTAGCAGGTGTACTATTTTCAGTGTTATCAACTCTAACCTTTAGGGTTTTGTGTCGGTAATATACATTTAGGTACATTTAGTTAACCCATGTTTGCCTAGATAAGGAAACACACCTCTAAGATCTGAGGGATTTCTCATAACATGACAAAAATGTTCCCCACAATATTAAGCAACCTTAAAGGACATGTTGAATCAATAAGATAGCCATTTTAGAGGTTAAATCTACAGCTTTCATTGTGCTTTTGGGATTTTAATCAAACAATAATGTGAGCTTCAAACCAGGTTTGAAAGGTTACATAAATGTTTCCTCATGCTTGAAGGTTAGATACACATTGGCTGCAGTAAACTCTGTAGCAGTCTAATCTTTGCAACAGTTTATTGACATTTTTTAGGTAATTTAAATTATCTGAATACTTTTTCTACTCTCGTTAATTGCATTCATATCCCGCATTTGAATGATTTGCCGAAAAAATACAAATGATTCAGGAAGGTGTTTGAGATTGCTGTAGTCTTTTTTCCCCCTTCACAGTCACAGTCTTTACATTGCACAATCTTTTGTGTCCAACCTTAATATGATTTCATGACTCAAAAATGCTTGTTTAATGGGGCGGCAGGAAGGACTCAATACAGTACTTCATCAAATGGCCTCATTATACTCAGAGACTTACTGTTATGTCCCATGCTTTTATTCTTCTAACCCCAAACATAAAAAACCTTTTGCCAGCTTTCACATTGACTTATTATTGGAAAAGCTCATCACCAAATAGTTGTATGAACTCGTGATTTTTCACAATGCCTGTCTCCCCATTTATCTCATCATTTGTCTTCCTCTTTAAAACTTGTCTCACAGTGGAAACCGTTCATCTAAAACATTCAAGCCCAAGAAGAATATCCCAGAGGGCTCTCATCAGTATGAGCTGTTGAAACATGCAGAGGCTACGCTGGGAAGTGGAAACTTGCGCTCGGCCGTCATGCTGCCAGACGGCGAAGACCTAAATGAATGGGTCGCAGTCAACAGTAAGCGCTGTCATTTACCTTTTACCCCTTCCCTGCTGTATTTAAGAGGACAATTCCTGGAAGAATTACGTTACTTCTACATCTGGTTTTGGATTTTACGTCAGTAATTTCCTGCTCTTTCCATTTGCATGCTGCTTGTTAGGCTTATTTCTGATATGTCAATTAGTCCACACCGTGAATCAGCTGATGGTGAACTATCAGGGTGTAGGATCTTGGCAGTCCTTCTAATGACCGTGTGCATTCATGCTGGACACACTGTTGTGAATGTTAAATAGATTTTATTGTCTGCACAGTGAGAGCCTTGTTTACTTTCCTCTGAATTGTGACAAATGACTCGGTTTAGGGAAGCTTAAATTCCTCTTGCATCTCCTTGCCTGTCAGGCTTAAAATATTCAACAGCCCAGCATGTAGACAAATAGACATTTATCCACTTTTTTTACACCCACTTCACAGAAAGTTTCTGTCCTTTCTAACTGTACCACTTTTATTACACAGTAATTGTATTCGTAATCTCTTCATGGGGCTGAATGCCTTTTTGGTGAGGGTTGCACAAGCTGATCAGACTTCCGCAGTAAAGGGAAGTCAGGATTAAAAGTGCTGTGGCCAGTGATTTCTTTCACTACAAAATTTAAGTAACTTTTCACATGATCTCTCCCCATGAGCAGCAGCTTGCTTCCCTTTTTTCAAGATGAAGTTGATTGTGACATGAAGAGATAACGGGCATGTATTAAAAGGCCTCTTAGCCAAAATTAACCTCCGAAAAAGTTATTCGACATGCATCTTTACTGTATAATTAGCCTGTTCAGTAGTATATTGTTATAACGCATGCTCTCTGGTGGCAATACTGCAAGTAATCTTCTGGAATATTTCTGAGATGCGTGTTTGGCAGCTGGTAGCATCTGCTGCTTCTTACAGGTTCCTGCAAACCTACATGCTCTCCTCTTCTCCCACAGATTCCTCCAAATATATGTAGCATTTATGTCGATCCAAAAAATAGGAACAATTACAGAAAGAAAGGACGCCATATCACAATCCTCAACATCCCCTAAAAAAGTCCTGTGACTTTGTTTTTCAAATCTACAGTTCTGTTGTCTCTTTGCATACTTCTCTTTGGTAGTGCATTTCCTCAGTGATGGGGCACAGTCTGTAACTAACACATCTCATGATCTGTTGATTTATGGAGTAATGCCAGAAATCATGTGTCTTTTTATTGACTATAATTTTTCCACAATCTCTCAGCAAGTTGCTGAGGAATTTTATGAAGTATCACAAGTTTTGCTAAGTGATAGGGCAGGGACACAGACACATTAGATAAGAGAGCTTTGTTTCAAACACTCAGACCTTGAAGGAATTTTCAGTACATTTAATTCAGTGTGGATATTGGATAACAAAAACATCCGTTTGGGCTTTTATTCGTCATTGAAATCACATGAATGCTATAAAACCCAACATGTTTTTGATATGTTTAGTAAGTCTTCACTTTGTAATACAATTTTATTTTTTCCCAAATGTTCCAAAATGGTGTCGAATGGATCAGATTTTTCCATAAATAGAACATATCAATCCATATAAAGCATCAGCAGTTATTTCTTAATGCATTTTTGAGATTTGTAACTGGAGCTCAAATGTTGCCAGCGCCTTAACGGATCCCTCAGCTGATTCAAGCCAAAGCTGGCTGTGTGCCTCGGGGAATAAGTAGTAGCAGTTAGCTGGAGTGTGTCCTGGTCAGAAATTGGGATGGGACAGAAAATCCCAGCTAATCCCAGCTGCCTCTGCTGGCACACTGTATCTGATTATTCAAATCTGTCTCTCTTTTTTTCTTTTAGCTGTGGATTTCTTCAACCAGATCAACATGCTGTACGGCACCATCACAGATTTCTGTACTGAGGAGAGCTGTCCCGTCATGTCTGCCGGTCCAAAGTAAGCGCAGCGATACATGGCTACAAGACTGCGAGCATGTTTAAAACTGTCTGCCGGTTGTGTTTTTTGTTGCCTGAGGAGGTGGAAATATGTTTCACAGCTCAAACTTCACGCTCAGTATCCAACAGATGTTTTCCATGCTTATCAAATAAATTTACTTTTGAAAGACTAATGAACAATCTTCTCTCAGCTTTTTGTTAGCGTTGTTATTCCATCTGAGACTGCGTGACATCCATTACCAAAATAATTCTCCCTGTTTTCTGTAGGTATGAGTACCATTGGGCTGATGGGACCAACATTAAGAAGCCCATCAAATGCTCGGCCCCGAAGTACATTGATTACCTCATGACCTGGGTGCAAGACCAGCTCGACGATGAAACGCTTTTCCCCTCAAAGATCGGTAGGACGTAGCATCTTGTTTAAACTCGGCTTTGAAAATGCAGCAGGCATCAGGCTTTTTCTGATTATCTGTTATAACATAGGGTTGCAATGCAAAGTGAGCGGATACGCGGATACTAAAACTGATTAAACTGATTTTTTGTGTGTATTTCAACAACAATATGAGCAGGTTTCCTCTTTTCTGACTTGTCAATAGAAAGGCGATTATAAGTTGTGTTTGCTAAATGATTGTACACACAGTTAACATTTGTCAAGCAGTCCCCAGGACCTGCTCAACGCTATACCTCAGCTTTCAGCACATCACTCAGCCCTGCTGAGCAGTGGAGGCCTTTAACTTCATATAAAAAGATCATTCTGTAATAACCCTGGTGTGCCATAATCACAAAGAGGTTGAATTTACATGCATACTTGTACGGGTCTCTCAACTTGCAATAGCTTGTGTGGTCTCGGGTGGAGCTTTGTTTTCGCTGGACGACAGCCAGTATAACTACATGTCTGATGGACTGAGCACATCTCAGTAGAAGGACTAGGAGTGCCTCCCCCAAAGCAGCAGAATTTTGTTCATTGTCCTTAATCTTTAGAGCTATTATTGCCTGTGCCAGAAGCTCCTCAAAGCTTCCTGCATGTGGTATGCTGGAGCATCCTGTCAGAAATGCATTATGGGAACAAACACATCCTTGACGTGTCGTATTGCACAGACGCTTGTCTCGAAAAGGTTCACATGTTTCTCAAACACTAGTTGGGCACCCCAAGAATTTGGGTTTCTTGCTAAAAATTAGAGCTGTTTCTCCTTTCTGTACAGTTGTATGCAATGGGAATGGTATCCATCAGGCTTGTGTACTTTCACACCTTAATTTTGGCGAGCTGGGCTGTTTGAACAAAAGCCTTACAGATGAATACTTAACATGTTGTGACCATGAGATGGTTCAGTCCTGTAGTTAATGTTTGCTCTGCCCTCGAATCATGCCGTGGCCTGTCTGAATGCACTTCCAGTCCCAGAGAACATTCTGTAGTCGAGCTGCATCTCACTCACCCCTCTTTTTCAGCCGATCTGTGCCAAAGGGAAAATAAATTGCACACCCCCAAACACACTTTGTTTTGCCGCCATACTGGAGAAGTTAAGTGCATTCAATGCAGTATTACATGTCGGTATTTCATCCAGCGTTTATTCCAGCTCCTTTCAGCCTTACCATCTTGGCACCCTGTTAGGGAATTAATGACCCCTACTCAATGAGCCTTTAAAATAATGGAGCAGCAGGGCAAGGTAATGCTGTCATGAGGGGTAGTTGTGACTTGGACAGAAACACAGAAATCCTGGTAACAATAACAACAACTATCTACATTTACAGTGCACACAAGTGGGGAATCGAGAGAAATTTCAAGATCCAACACAACCAAAGTTTCTGTGCTGTAAACTCTCCTTACATCTCAGTACAGAGGAACATTTATCCGCACAATCCACAAAATGAGCCTCTTTCCGTAACTTCATTGTGTCCCTGCTTATATCGACTGGGATGAGGACTGTGGTCAGTTCAACACAACAGCCATCCTAGCTATTAACCATAGCTCAAGTCAACTGTGCATGTAACTAATATATGTGTGCTACTGTTTAATCACCTAAACTCTCTAATTGGGTCTTCTGTCTTTGACTTTTCCCAAGGCGTCCCCTTCAAGCGTAACTTCATGTCAGTGGCAAAGACCATACTGAAACGTCTGTTCAGGGTATATGCCCACATTTACCACCAGCACTTTGACTCCGTCATGCAGCTGCAGGAGGAGGCCCACCTCAACACGTCATTCAAACACTTCATCTTTTTCGTTCAGGTAAGGATACTAACAGCATTTGAATTTGACCCCCACCCCTGAACCTAAATATTATGTTGATGTTCTTAACGCATTTCTTCCTTTTACTTTCCAGGAGTTCACCCTCATTGACAGAAAAGAGCTGGTCCCACTACAGGAGCTGATTGAGAAGTTGACTACCAAGGATAGATAAACAGCAATGCAACCCTAATTTTATTGTTCTTCTAGTTTTTTGCACAGATACCCACCCCACCCTGGCTGTATGTATGCAGTATATACTATATTTCCATTTGGGGAAATGTTTTTAAAAATGCCAGGAAGAAAGGAAGGGTTTTGATAGGTTTAAGGCACCAGAACTAATTTTATCAGGGATTACAACACTTAATTGACCGACAATAAATTAACACTAGCAAGAAAGCATTTATCTTTATGTAAAAAAAGACAATGATCCAACATGGCATACATATAGATAAAAACCGTATGTTCACTAGTTTTCTATTAGATTGCACAGATTTTTTTAAATCTCTGTCCCCCACTTGGATTTACAGCATCACAGGGCTGTGCGTCGTACGAAAGGATGTTTTTGGTGTTGTGGCAAGAATTGAAGCCAGCTTTTATAGCGACGGTAGGAGTTTTTTCATTCGGCGCAGAAAGATCGGAGATTGGGTTTGCTACTGTCACTCCTGACATTTCAATACAAAATAAGCCTAAGTGCCTAGAATGGCTCATAATTGCCCTATATCCACAGCGGGAACGTCAGAAGACGAAGGCCATAATGTCACTGAATTACCTGACATAACATACAAATGTCAACCTCCCTTCAAGTTCATGTGATTCTAAATGCCCCGAATCCCAGTTTACAATATGACTACTTTGGCTTGATTGATTTCCAAAAAACAAAACTCTTAATTAGTTAGTCTCTTTGCTGAGTGTTCTGTGCAGGTTGTGATAAACGAACGTGTTGAAGGACATAGAGGTGAAGTTAGAATTGTGTCATGTTGTAGCAGGGACTAATAAACTTTTTTGTCTAGTCACATGTTCCTGGGTGTTAGTTTTGCCCTGAATTCTTTAAAGTAGAAACAAATTTTAGGAAAGGTTTGCAAGGGATCTAAAACGTTAAATTGTATGTACATATCTGCAGATAGACCTAGAGACATGCTAAACCAGAATTGTTTTAAAGGTAAAAATAATTTTGAATTGGATAATGCTGCATCCCTTGTTATCTCAATAGCCATTAAGCACTTTGAACTATTTTCCTGACCTCTCTTGCCTGAATGTTTCTTCTGCATAGGCTGTGCTTTGTGAGAAGCTGTATCATGTGACTGATGATTTTTATTCCCCTCATCTTTATCCAAATGAATGTTGAATGGCTTAACCTCGTCTAAATAATCTATGAGGCACAAGTGAGGTTTTCTTACGCTTTTATGAAGTTTGAGTTGTCGCCGTGCTTCGGACAGCAGGACGCATGCACCCTTCCCCAATGTCAAAGTGTAGTCTACTATGCAATGATTGACAACACTAAAAGGGTTGCCTGTCGACTTGTCAAAGCTCTATACCCAATATTTACTTTGCTGTATGACGCTTGAATTTGAGTGTGTGACAAAAATAGAAAATGCTTCTCTTTAACGGTTTAAACGCGGTGAAACAAAAGTTTTATACCTGAGATTTGTCAGATGTGATGCTTTGATGCACACCTGTAAATAATGAGGATTTGACTCATCTTGAAAAAGATATTCAGCAAGCATGGAGTGGTAGCTTTTGGTAAAATGAATGCATCAAGTCTTTATAGAGGCTGCTTCTTCTCCTTTGGATGAGAAAAAACTCTTCTTTTACTTATTCTGTTTTTTTGTTAGTTTTTTTTTTGTCCACCCTCTCAGCTTACTATTATGAATGTTACTGGTTGACAAATAACAAAATGTGTAATGGAGAAATTGGTCATCGTGAAAGCATCACAGCCTATTGCCTATGGTTTTTCTTCTGTTACCGTAATGATGGATAAAATGTTTGTAAATAATGGCTCGGTAGAGGTTTTCAATGCTACTGAATTGATTTATGCTGTAAAGGCGAATAAAGGTGGTCTTGACTCTTTGAATCGCATTCATTTCCTATCGTGAGGTCAAAGCAGAAGCTGAAAACAGGTACTTGTAATAATGGAGTATCAGAGTGCAGTATTGATCAATTGTGGCTTTACAATAAAATGTTTGCAGTTCGATCCACTTAGACTATTAGGACCTGATAATACACCAACCAGCATTTTTTTTAACTTTATTGTGTATTAATATATCAGAACAGTAAAGAAACTAACTGAATACTGTCTCCAGCTACATCCCAGAGGTATCTCAATATTTTCTTGGTGGTAGAGGTTACAAACTCATTAACCAATGGTAAAGAAATAGTGTGTGACAGTGGATATGAAAGCTTTAAAACAATTTTTAAAAAGACTTAAAATTTGAGTAAAATCTCATTAAAGACAAATTGACTCAATATCCATATACTTTGAAAGCAATTAGCGTTAAGCAGTAGATATTCATTGAGTCTACCACAGCTCCTTGGTCTTTGAACACCACGTCAGTCACGTGACAAGGACTAGACGTCACTTCCTAGGCGGAAGCAGCTGCTCAACCACACACTAATATATCCGGGAAATAAATAAATAAATAGACAGACAGACAGACAGACAGACAGACAGACAGACAGACAGACAGA